CGGCCCACCTGATGGAAAGTGGTAACGTCACCTATAGACATGAGCAATACCATGGACATAACAGAGTATACTGTTTCGCTCATGATACATGTATACTGTTTCGCACTGAGCCGTGAGGTAGGACACAGGTTAATTATTTTACGAAAAACAACGGAAACACGGACGAAATCGCTGGCAACAGCTAGTATTACATAAACGTTCAATTTTATTTTCCAGAGCATACTTTGTAAACGTATCTCATTCATAATACGACAACCTTTCACTACGCCTATTTCTATAAATACAGATGAAGTAATATTATAATACATACATAGTTGATACAGCTATGTGGAAAGAACTATTTGCCATTGTAAACAGGTACAAAACATTTCAACTTTATACAGTTGGTTTCTGTAGCAAAAACAAATATGTGTTTATTTATTTAATTACAATATATATATAGATATTTACTACAGCGCAAAACGTAAAAACACCTCAAAGTGGTTATACATAATTTCACAATAATATATTTTGTAGCACAAAACAAAAATCACCTACTGCAATTGTGACAACACCGGTTATTTTGTTTAAAAAATCAAGCTACTGAACCGATTGTGATGAAATTTCTATGGAATCAATCTGGAAGTAGGTATATTCATTCTGATAAAATAATCAAAATCGGTTTATATGAGTTATGAGGTAACAAACATGATAATAATAATAAAAAATACAACCGAATTGAATCCTCCTTTTTTTTAAATCGGTTGATTAAATAATTACCATGCTATGGGATTTGGCTTCTTTTAAGGTTCAACCATAAGAATAATAAGGACTAGGCCTTTTTAATGGGTGAAAATGGAATGGTGATCCCGCCTGCGCTATCGGTATATACTGGCGGAGCACCAATGAGGAATGATAGGTGAAGATTAAGCCAAGTCCATTAGCCTATAGTAACCAATTCAACCATAATTAAACACGATGGTTTCCAGGAGTAACCACGTGGATACAACTTACAGTGCCCCTCAGAATTACTCTTTATATATATATATATATATATATATATATATATATATATATATATATATATATATATATGAGTTAGAATGGCAAACAAGCTGACGGCTCACCTGATGGAAAGCGGTAACCGTCGCTTATAGACATGAGCAGTACCATGGACATAACAGAGTATACTGATTCGCCCATGATACCCCCCATGCGTTGCCATTCCTAAAGACTCAGGTGTTATTCCTCTGTACCCTGTAAATTCACGTCATATCCCACCCTTCAAACCGAAACAGCCATGCAAACACAACTGCTTCATGGATGAAACACGAATGGGACAGAGGTACCCAAGCAAACGACTTTTAAACAAAGTCTCACTCTTATTTGTTGGTACGGAGGCAGTACCTCTCTAAACTTATCTTTAAAATTTAACACGTTGACTGCCAACTACGAGATAACTCATAGATTGCATTCCATTCGAGGACGCCAACTACGAATTATCTCGTCCCGTGATTACTTGCCATTTTAGTGCAGCTGTGATTTAAACTTGGAATATATCAGTGCTATCGATAGATTGAGAAGGGATTGTTAGTAATGGCCCTATTGTTAGCAATATACCCAACCAGTTCGACCTCCCCATGGTCCCCCCTAAAAACCATAGCACTGAATTCAAAGCGTAATCGTAAGCGTACATCACGATGAGCTAACTGACCTGCCTTTCCATTCTCACCTATCATCCCTCACTGGTATCCCGCCAGCATATACCGTTAGCGCATGCGAGGTTACCATTCCATTTTCAACCATTGACAAAAAATATCGAAAGATAGCTTTTGGATCTGGGAAAAGAACAAAAAATCAATGCTGGTATGCATGAACAGAAAATTTATTAAAATCCAACCAAAAATACAATTATAGAAGTTATTTCAAATTCAAGAAATAAAGTAATATTTTAATGTTTCTTTGTTGTTGTTTTTTTTATGCTTTTTGATGATCATTATGCACTAGAATTATAGTTTTTAATAATATAATGTGATAAAATCAAATTGTCATTTTAGACCAAATTTATAAAAATTGCCGTCATCTTGTTTAATTAGGTACAATTTTATACTACAGCGATATCTTTGTTCTAAGGATAAATATAAATTAATTTACAATAGATTTAATCGAAATTATTATAAGTCTAGTTTATAACGGTCCATAAAACTATCAAATTGAAATATTAATGTAAAAGATAAGTTTAGAGCATTGTTTCTCAACCGGGGAGTCGCGTTTGATATTAAAGGGGGTCGCAGTCTATTGAAAAAATAGGACTTAGAAAGTTTCATATAACGTAGCGATGCGCAACTTTGCTAATCCGATTAAAAATTATTCGACTACTGATATCATTTACTATATGCTTCTTCTAATAGCTAAAATCATTCATAAGTAGATGTTCATAAGTTGTTCATATACAAGTCGGTACGAACATAGCCGAGTCGATTTTTATTCGAAAAACAAAAGCATTCAAATTTACGCACCGCTAATTTAACGTAATAAATTTCAAAAATAAAATTGTTATATTATTAATTACATTGTATAGTGACGGTGATCGCAAAACTTTTTACTTAACTTTCTGGCTGTTTCGTAGGTCGTGACATAAAAATAGTTGAGAAATAACAGTTTAGAGAAATGGCGCCTCAGAATGGGCCCCAATATGGATGTTAAATTCAATACATTTTACATTTCAAAGCGACATTGTGGTACAACAAAATCTTTAATATTAAAATGCAGACATACTTGTCAGTAACATACTTTTTGCGACTGTGAAGGTCAAAGTATTGGTGAGACTTTATATTTAAACGACTTAACAATTCGTTAACCAATTGAATAAATAAAATCAATAAATCATAAACACAGGTCATATAATCACTGCATTAGCCGTAATATGAAATATTTAATATGTTTTTATTATGATAATACCTATAGTGCTACGAAACATTAGTATTATAAAAATAAACCATATTTCGATGATGTTAGAGCTCCTTCCTCTATGTGAATGGATAATTTTGGTAATGCGCAATGCGCTTGTCCGAAAGGACACGATCGCATAAAGTACTATCTATGATCACAGATAACGCTAGGAGTCGGGGGGAAAAGGGATTGTTAGTAATGGAGACTAAGAATCCTATTGGTAGCAATATACCCAGCCAGGTCGCCTCCTCGCGATTTTCACTAAAAACTATAATGGTTAATTTCTTACGAATTTATCATGATGGGCTAACTGACCTGTTTTCATTCTCATCGATCACCAGAGGGAGACTTTGTACAAAAGTCGATTGCTTGGGTACCTCTGTCCCATTCGTGTTTCAACCGTGAAGCAGTTGTGTTTACATGGCTGTGTTTCGGTTTGAAGGGTGAGATATGGCATGAATTTACTGGGTACAGAGGAATAACACCTAAGTCCTCAGGAATGGCAACGCATGGGGGGTATCATGGGCGAAATAGTATACTCTGTTATGGCCATGGTACTGCTCATGTCTATAGGCGACAGTTACCACTTTCCATCAGGTGGGCCGTCGGCTTGTTTGCCATTCTAAGTTGTATAAAAAAAAAGCTTTCACTGGTGTTCCGCCAACGTATAGCGTAGGGGTTACCATTCCATTTTCACCAATCAAAAAAAAACGCTAGGCGTCTGAAAAAGAATATAGAATATAGAATACTCTTTTTCGGACTGAGACGATCGACTATCAACGTATTCACTCATACACACACACTCTCACACACACACAACGTATTAATCATCTCACAAAATCGTATTTCACTGGGAACCAACTAAATTATGATGAACCTACTAAAAGGACATTACTGATTTCGTCACAATTAAAGTCAGTTTTTTTTTTTGTGGAACACAATCTTTAATTATGTTACAAATCATACTAGATGTATCCCGTGGCTTTGCTTGTTTGAACTATTAAATACATAGAATATCCTATGCACTAAGTTAGGATATGACCTACCTGTATACCAAATTTCATAAAAATCTGTTCAATAGTTTTTGCGTGAGAAAGTAACTAACATCCATCAATATAACATTCATCGGGGGGAAAGGGATTGTTAGTAATGGAAACTGAGAATCCCATTGCTAGCAATATACCCAAACAGGTCAACCTCCTCGTGGTTCCCCCTGGAAACTATCATAGTTAATTCCTGATGAATTCATCATGATGGGCTAACTGGCCTGTTTTCATTCTCATCTATCACCTTTCACTGGTGCTCCGCCAGCGTATCCCGTTAGCGCAGGCGGGGTTACCATTCCATTTTCACCCATCAAAAAAAAAACACAACATTCTTCTAACTACCCATCCAGCTATAACATGTGTGGTTAACTTTGATATAAATCCACACACTATTTTAAAGTTATATTGTTCGTCAATAATTAAAGTGTGGAGGTTGTAGTAATACAAACCAAGCAACAACAAGAAGATTATTACCACAAGTAAAGAAAACATCCCAAAACCCTAAATTTGTAATTACCTTATTTTTGTAAAATATTTTTTTAATTATAATTTGTACAGGTACCTCGTTGCATGAATTCGACTCGCACTTGGCCGGTTTCACTTTTGACTTCCGCTTGAACGCTTTATGTACAATATCACCATCTAGTGTATAGAGTAGAAACTTATATAGAGTAGATATTTGACCTAAAGCACGCAGAGCAAGTGATCACTATGGTATAAAGTAGGTACTATACTTAATAAAAAAAATATTAAAAAATAATATGTAAATTTTTAAAAACCACAGAACTTTGTTAATCTATTATTCTAAATCTGCGGCGACATCATTCCATCAGTCTCTTATATTTATCAATCAACTTATCGTATGTCAATATGTCAGTCAACATCACTTTTTTATCTGTGGTCAAAAATATCTAACAAATCGAACAATGAACTCTGTTATTCCAGACAAATTATCTTTTTGAAGACTAGGCAGCATGGTCTCCGACCTTAGCCTGTTCCAAACGGAACAAACGTACTAAAAAAAAAAAAAAAAAAATCTAACAAATCGTCAATAAAATATAATTCTGATTCCACGTTTTTAGTCTCAATTATAATTCTGAAAATAAAATGCTAAATCCCTGAGATTAGTCCTAAATTCATCTATTTATCTTAAATGTTAACAGTGTAATAAGAAAACTAACAAATAATGCCAAGGTCGCCGAAAGATGATCCAAGATACAATGATGCATGGAGTTACGGTGCGGAAACCGCCGAAAAATGTGCACCTGGTGCTCTGAATGATAGACAACAAACTCCAATAACATCGAGTGCTAATGTTATGAACGATAACAGTATGTATGTCAATGCAAATTACGGCAGTGATATGTATGGGAGTCAACATTCTTATAAACTACTAACAGGTGACACCGCAACGAACAAGGATGAAAAGATCGGGTTCAACAACATGCAAAATATTCCCCATGTCAGTCGGCAAAATTATAGTAATGCCACACTAAATTGGGGAGATGGGCAGTCATTAAAAGTGTATGTACGCTCTGATGAAAATGGGCTGCCGCTAATCGTGCCAATGTCTCAATACGAACTGTTCAACCACAACCAGGGACTACGCGAAATGCCAATTAATTGCCAATCACAACCACCACAAGTGTATGGCACCAATCAGGATTACTCTACAAGCAACAATATCCATATGCCACCATCAACAACCCAGAACAACTACAGTCCAGATGGTGGAAGTGGAACAACACCTAATTTTTTAAAAGATTTTCTAGGTAATCTTGAGCCAAACTCCACTGGCACATATTCTCCATTCGGCCAAAACTATCCCCTAAACCATCCTGATGTGCCCACTCTCAATATGATGTCGAATCCTATCATTGACACTAAGGCACAAGCTATAAAAACTGATAACTCTCCAAAAAGAAATGAGAATAGCCCTTTAGCTGATACAAGCAATAAAAAACGTATTGTGGCCGAAGTAAAACCAATGCGTCCCACATATTCTGATGTACTTGCTAAAAATACAAAAAACAACTCTCAGTCGGAACTCACTAATAAGGTGAAACCACAGAATATTGATACCAAAAATAATAAGTCCAATGCAAAGCCAGACAAACCAGCTGCAAACTTAAAACATAATGATGATGGTAAACATAAAAATGATAAGAAACATCAAAACACTATATCATCTGGTAGTGAATCTGGTGACATCAATACTGATGATACAGAAAAACAAAAGCCAAATAAGAAATCTAAAAATAAGAGAAGCAATATCTCCCGTAGGTGGTCGTCTCTGGATGATATAACTAATGAAGAAGATGGCACATATGAACATGGTAATGAAAGCCAATTTGTGTTCATTGAAAATCAAGAAAAGCCTCAAACGAAAAAGAAATCCGACAATAAAGTTAAGGTAAATAAAAATAGTATTTTCGAAGATGAGTTCAAGATTGATGAGGAGGATAATTCAGAGTTTGTCTTCCAAGAAAACCAGAATGAAATTTCGAAGAAGAAAAAGAAAGACAATCGTAATAATCATAAAATTCCAAAGCCCGTACAGGACAAAAAGAAGGCTAGTCAGTGTAAAATAAGGCGGAATAAACCGGGTTACCTGGGTATGGCCCAAAATTATATTGAGCATTGGGGTGGGGCCACATGGAAGGCACTAGTGTGGTTTGCTTACCTGTTATCTGATGTATGCCACATGAGTTTTCATCTGTCTTTTGATTTGTAAGTTGAAATTATATTAACAGTACTAAATCTTTTTTTAATAAATTGGTTATAGTCATTATATGAGAGCCCTGAATTATAAAATACAAAATAAATAGGGAATGTTCCATGCAAATATAAAAATGTAAATGTGTCTAGTTTGGGTAATTAATTTTTATAATTTTTAGTTTGTAGGAAATTACTACTAATTATTTAAGAAATTACTATTAATATTATAGAGAAGAAAGATTTCATTATTTGTTTTTTGTAATCAATAGCCTCAAAAACTCAGCTGATTTAAAAATTATTTCATCTATAGAAAGCTATATTGCTATCAATGTATCTTTCTATATATCTATAGTAACATAGGTTATATATTATTTTCAAAAAGATTAAAGATCCTTATGTTAAATTACAAAAATGTAATCCAAATTATCAAAAATTTACACATTAAAGCTAATATAAAATACTAATTTAACATTCCGTTTATTGATCTGCAAAGTCAGGGTAGATCACTAATCCTATATACTTAATTATGCCATTACCCTTGAACAGTAGACAGTAAAAGTGACTGTTAAAGGCCTTACACACATTCCTTAATTCATTTTGATCAATGTTGGTTATGGAGACTTTAACAACATACTAACACCTGTGCTGGAATGTATCAAAAAAATCACTGTTTCAATCAATCAGTAATTTTCAATTAAAAACTATAGAACGGATTTGTGATATAATTTCTATGAAACCAATATAAAAGTATTTCTTAATATAAAAAATAATTATTATCTAAATTTTAAATGGCAGTTCTGAGGTAACAAATGTAAATAATATAACTTTAATTTTAGCAATTTAGAACTGCCTCCTTTGTCGGTTTAAAAAGGTACATGCCGCTATAAACTCCCAGGCAAAATTTATAAATACAATGTAAATTTTCTCACAAATGTGTATTCTTTTATACTCAGTATTTAGGGATGTAAAAAATTTATTGTATCCATATATGTATTGTTGCACTGATAGACAAATGCAAGGCAATTTATTTATTCAATTTGAATTGGTATATGAAAAATTTAATACAAAAAATGGATTGTCTAATTCAGAGTAACATTTTTTATAAATTCATATACATATTTATATATATAGGATACTAAAAGGAAGTAGACTGTCCACAAAAACACTGAAAGGATGTGCTAAAGTAAACAGCAAGTCCATACTGCAGTAAAGCAGCATGGAATAGAAATTATTGGTAGGAATTGGTAAAGGCTTTTGCTATATGCCACTAGGCTGTGCAATATATTATAATAAAAAAAAAATAGTACATAATTTTAATGTAGCAAAAATAATGAATGATGCTTCATGTTTTATATATATGTAAAATATTATTTGCTATTATTAAAAATGATTTTGTTTCACAGATGCACATCAGTGTTCACACAAACCTATGTGAGTTCCCAAGCGGTCTGGCGTAGTAGCAAAGATTGGCTGTTCAAAATGAAAGACAACAAATACCTGCTATACATTGATAGAAAATTTGGACACACGCGGTTTGCTTTTTGGAGGAGATTCAAATGGTTTAAAATCGGTAATTATATTCCACCAATACTTATCAATAATATAAAAAAAAAAATTTGGAGGAACAGATCAAAGAGAAACAATGAGGTTAATTCTGAGATGCCATTTCTCTCTTAATCTAATATGTTAATTTAATAAATTCGCTTTTATGGATCACTGTAAACTACATTTATAATAATTTTTACATAAATCTGTTACAAATTATTTCATATTGGTCCTTAGAATAAAAATTTCGCTGTAATATTAGATAGTTTTTTTTTTTTTTTGGATATATCGTCATAGTCGTAAAATACTGACGGATCTGACAAATATTACATATAAAGATCCGTCAGTATTCTACGACTATGACGATATGTTTAGAGAAATGGTGTCTCAGAATTGACTCCATTATATTTTTTTTATATTTATATATTAAGTATAAGCAGGTACAGACATCAGTCGACAAATACCTCTGAATACTAGTAATTCAGGGATTATAGCTCTGAACACATGTTATAAGTTAGATGCTTAGCTCATTTAGTAAGCAATATTGGTACCTCTTTTTTTGGATTGGAATACCCAAAATAATATTATATAATTATTAGTAATTAACACAAAAGCCTTCTTGTTATGGTTTTTTTTTGTTTCATTTATTCTTTTTATTAAATTAGTAAAATATGCCAAGTATAAAAACATTTTTCATTAATTATTATTTTGTTTCTTTAACAGAAACAGATTCAGACTCTTCCAATGATTCGACAAAGTTAAATACCAACATACCACTGCCTGCCACTGGTGAGGAAGCTATGAAGAGATTGCTAGCATGTAAAGGAAAAGATCCATATAGGTGAGTTTACATATATAGATAGAATGGAAATAAAAAAATATTTCAATTAATTTCTAATTTAATATTCTTATTATTTAATAATTTAATATTAATATTCCAGCTCTTAAATAGGATAGATAGATAGCTATCTATCCTATTTAAGAGCTGGGCTCTTGTTGGTGGAGCTCTTGCCACTCACTACGATTTTCAGCGAGTCTCTTCACCTCTTGATACGACACAACACCAACTCCTTCCTTGATCTGCCTGATGTAACTATGCCTCGGCCTCCCTCTCCCCCTTCTTCCTTCTATCTTACCTTCTATTATAATTTAATATTACTAAAGGTAAAACTAGATTTTTTTTATTTATTACCTCGTGATGCTTTAACGGCTCAAATAAAAGGCATAGACTACTTCTTGTTTTGATCAATCAACATATATGGCATAATGGGTGACCCATGAATGGCTGGCATGTTTGATAAATAAATGTAACTTTCCCGTATAGATATGAACTTCGTGGACATCACAAACACTGAACTCTTCATGTGTTAACAATCGTGAAGTTCAACGTGTTTGTATAAATAAAATTAACCTGTTTGTATTGCACATATAGTATATAGTAATATTATAATATTACAGTATTCTGGGTGTGAGCGTGACGTGCACGGACGAGGAGATCAAGCGCTACTACCGGCGACAAGCGTTCCTCGTGCACCCCGATAAGAACCAGCAGCCTGGCGCCGAGGAGGCCTTCAAGATACTTCAGCACGCGTTTGAACTTATCGGGGAGCCTGTATGCATATTTTTTTATACTATTAGGCAAACATTTGTACTCCAATTATATCAATAATTATGTTTTAATATTATATTTCTTTTTTTTTTTTTTTTAACTAAAAACAAAAAATAAGAAACACTGATATTAGGAAGAAAACCAAAATAACAGATGCTCTTCAGTATAGTATGAAACAGAAGTGGAGATGGGTAGGTCGTATAGTGAGGTACAAAGATAAAAGGTGGACTCTCCAAACAACAAAATGGCGAGGTCCAGCAAGAAAAAGAAGTGTTGGAAGGCAAAGAAAGAGATGGGCAGATGACACAATAAAGGCAGCAGGGAAAAACTGGACAAATATTGCTATAGATAAGGAGAAGTGGAAAAAGATGGGGAAGGCTTTTACCCTTGGGGACCACTGAAGTGGATAAAAAGCTATAATAATAATAATAAATTATATTTCTTTATCAATATTGATCACTAAAAATTAAAATGCTTGCTTTATCCACGATGAAGTTACAGGAGGATCAAAAGTGCCGTGAGTCACTTTGTGATGAGGATAGGATGGTTGTGCTAGACTTGACGGAGGCATTGCCGTGCCCCCTGATACATGTACAAAGTACAACCAAGTGCCAACTATCACGATTATTAATATTACATTTTCAACCGACTTCGAAAATGAGGAGGTTCTGAAATGGGTTATATTTTTTTATGTTTGTTACCTCAGTTTTTTGTTACGTCACTTTTTTTTAATGGGTGATAATGGTATGGTAACCCCGTCTGCGCTATTGGTATACACTGGCGGCGCACCAGTGAGGGATGACAGATGAAGATGAAAGTAGGTCAGATAGCCCATCCTGACGAATTAAACTAAAATTAGTCACGATGATTTCCAGGGCGAACCACGTGGAGGTCGACCTGACAGGGTACATTGCTAGTAATAGGGTTATTTGACCCCATTACTAACAATCCCTTTCCCCCCTATTATGTCAGTTGTAAATCGGTTTAAAAACTTTTTATCTGAAAGGATATACCTACAGATTCAGTGGTTTAGTTTTTAAATCAAAACACTGGTTATACCACAATTAAGACAGTTTTTTTTTTTAATAAACTTAATCGTTTGGTATCACCTATTGATTGTAAATACTTGTACGTATGAGTAGTACTCCATGTATGTATGTATGTATGTGCAATTGTCGGCAGGAGCGGCGCGAGGCGTACGAGAGGCGTGCGCAGGAGTCGCGGCACATGGAGGCCGCCTGGAGCGAGTTCAGCCACCTGCTGGCGCAGCTGCACGACAAGATGGAGTTCGCCGCCAACACCATCAGGTATAAGTCCTTGTATACTTGCCACAATTGACCAGATGAGGAGAAAGGGATTGGTAGTAATAGGATGTCACAGCTCCATTATACTTTATCAAGTCAACCTCCACTTGGAAGCCTTCGTGCTTTGTTCTTGTGTAATTTGTCACGATGGACTAACTGACCTGTTTGCTTTCTCACCTATCATCTCTCAGTCTCGCCTCGCCAGCGTATACCGATAGCGCAAACGCGGAAACCGTTCCATTATCACTGATTATTTGATTACAATGATTTCGTTTAATTTCACCACCATTGGTATGTGTATGACTGGCAACATTCGAAAATTGACTATAACAGTCGGATATTGATGGTTGATATGGAAGATTGTAGAACTTCTAGCAGTAGAAGTGGTGGTACTGCTCATATCTATAGGCGACGGTTATCACTTTCCATCAGGTGGGACGTCAGCTTGTTGCCATTCTAAGTTGTATAAAAAAAATACTAATGGTAACGGAATGAAACAAAATAGTTGTAATCAAATAACCAGTGATATGGACTTCTGCAAGATAACACTTAGTTCAGTAAAAAAAAACATTCCATTATTATCGTATAAAAAAGATAGAATGTCATGTTTGTAGGCGATGGTTACCACTGTTCATCAGGTGAGCCGTTAGCTTGTTTGGCATTCTAAGTTGCATAAAAGAAGAATAGCTTAGAATATAAAAAAATGAAATGAGAAGAGAGGGAGGAACCTCCCAAAGTGTCGCCCACATGGAAGAGAAGATGCCACGCCGACATACACATACCACCCATGTATGTCGTTGTTTCCAAGAGACCCGGAGGTGGTAGCCTCCGGAGTTGAAGATGGGGCAATGGGGTACGCCGCGAGACCCCTACCTCGCACGCCTTCACCATCTGGCGGGTCAAGAGAAGACCGGATTGAATGAAAAGATCAATCAATCAAGGGCTTCTCTTTGCCCGCCAGATTATGAGTGGGCGGGCGAGGTAGGGTCCTCGGGGCGTACCCCATTACCCCGGCTTCTACTCCGGAGGCGACGACCTCCGGGTCGCTTGATTTGCAGCCTGCATACACTGTTGGTCTGTGTATGCCGGCGTGGCGTCTTCTTTCTTCTTGATGACAATTCTTCTCCCTTGATTTTTTTTTTTTTTAATGAAAAGTATGTACGGATGTTGCAGGTGCACGAACTGCGGGCGACGTCACAAACGCGTACTAACGGGGCGGCCGTGCTACGCCGCGCGCTACTGCGCCACCTGCCGCATACGACACTCCGCCAAGGAGGTATGCACTTATTCGTAAACTAAAACCTTTCACAAACCTGTTTTAGCTATTTAAATATTTTGTTACTTTTTTCAAATTAAGAATTTAGAACAAAAGTTAAAGACAAAGTGCAGAAGTTTGACATTTTTATAAATAAGGGACAAGTTTTTTCTATTATTATTCTTATATTTATCACGTTTTTTTTTTTTTGCTATTGGTATATTCCATAATGTTCGAATCCAAGTGGCGGTGGTATGTGGCCCTCCAATGCCACGTCGAATTTTAATACAATGAAATATGAGCATGTTCAGTGTTATGTTTACCACAACGATTACACTCCACATGTCCTTCATTTGGGGGGGGGGGAGTATTATTAGTAATGGTCTGGTAGACCTCCACATAGCTTCTACTGGAAACTATTGTGGTTAAGTCCTTATGAATTTATCTTATGAATATATGAGGAGCTAACTGACCTAACTTCGTTCTCACCTATCACTCACTGGTGCCCCGCCAGCGTATAGGTATCGATACCACACTATAATTATTGCATTTAAAAAAGCATATCCTGCAATAATACTAATAATAATCAATACAAACGTCCATCATACAGGGTGACATATGGGCAGAGTCGAGCATGATCGGTCTGCTGGTGATGTACTACGCGTGTATGGACGGCGCCGTCTACCAGATCACGCAGTGGGCCAGCTGCCAGGTCAGTATACTTGACTTGACTAGTACAGTCGGTTTCATATTATATGAATATAATATTAATGTGACTGTACACGCAAGTCAATTTTTTTTTTTTTATATATTTAAATAACTTTATTGACCAAATGAAAATATGGTACAAATGGAGGACTTCATGCTTTATCTAGTATGGTGAAAATATTTTTTTAATCCTTGCAATATTCTTTGAATTTGTCTTTAAAACTTAAAATTTGATATAAAAATATCCAATTATTAATATCACAATGATTTTTCCAGTTTAAATAACTCAAAACTGCTTGTTTAAATTAGAACACTAGTTCAGCAGGTTGCTTTTTAGGAATGGAAAAAATACAAAAGGAACACACATTTAATAAGTTCTGCTTTAATTACGGTCTCCGGGCATAGATGATGGCTACTGATTGCTTTGAAATCCTCTTTTGGATTTTATAATAAACATATTGGCGGCGCAATGATTGAATGTAAAACTAAATCATAAATTGTGGGTAGAAAGCATACGCGATTTATTTTAATGGTGTTGTGGGTGACCATGGGCGGCGGTAGTCACTTACCATCAGGTGAGCCGCATGCTCGTTTGCCCCCTGTGTTGTAAAAAAAATATACCCTTTTCCTCAAAAGGGACAGATACAGAATGGCGTTAACAATAAACATTAATAAAATATATAGTACGAGTGCATTAACCTTCTCTTATCCTAACTACTTACTTACTAATATTATAAACTAGCAATCCGCCCCGGCTTCGTACGGGTGGACATGACATTAGAAACCTCTAAAATTATCAGTGTCTCTCTAATATATTATGCATGTATTATACATAAAAACCTTCCTCATGAGTTACTCTATCTATTAAAAAAAACCGCTTCAAAATACGTTGCGTAGTTTTAAAGATTTAAACATACATAGGGACGGACAGGCAGCGACAGCGAGTTTGTTTGTAAAACCTTAACGGCTTAATCACTTTAAAGTTTGGTATACACATACAATTTGAGATAGAGAAAGATATAGACTACTTTTATCCCGGTCAGTAAACACATTCCAGTCGAAGTTGCAGGTAAAAGCTAGTAAACCATAGAGCAGTGATTCTCAACCTTTTTGTTGCGGCACAAATTTAACGATTTAAAAATTTGGCGGCACACAAAGAAAAAGATAAAAATTATTTACTTACACACTGCATAAATAGTTTATGACAAAAATTTTAAATATTTGCAAAATTTGGCGGCAGCACACTTTTAAAATTTGGCGGCACACAAAAGTGCCGCGGCACAGTTGTTGAGAATCACTGCCATAGAGAATCATGAAAGCAATAGTGGAAAAGTTAATAAACACGATGTTTTTATTGCATAACTTACATAAATTTACTTTACATAAATTTAACATATAATCCTAATATTTTATCTACTCGTAGAAAAGATAAAGTATGTTCTACAGTACAAATTAGGACACACTATTGTAATAAATTCCAGATTTTTTTAGCTCCTTTTCTTTATAATAAAATAAACAAAATTCTTAATATCTATTCACTAACTAAATACAAATGCAAGGAAAAGGTATCCAATTGGCTTAAAAATCAAGATTATACATTTACAGAGCAATTGTTAATTACTAATAAATAAGTCATTTCTTACTATATTTTGAACGTAAATTTGTAAATTGAAAAATAAATCTGTAAATTTACACATACGCGCGTGCACACAGACACAGACACACACACATACTCACACACGCACACGCACACGTACACGCACACGCGCACACACACACGCACACGCACACGCGCGCGCACACACACGCACACACACACACACACACACACACACACACACACACACACACACACTACTTACACATATATAGTAATTAATTATATTTCATCTGCATTACTCATAGAATGCTTAACAAAAAAACAACATAGATGTACTCATGAATTATTCTAAATGAAACGCATTGTAAATTTGATATTATGTCTAACAATACTTAGTCTCTGCTTAAAATAATATTATGCTATAATATAAATTAATTTATTAATATTTCTCTTAAGTCAATACTTTATGCGGTTGCTAATATGACCGGCAAATAATATTGCACATTAGGTGGGTAAACTGTTAATCGTAATTGTAAGTAAATAATATGATGCTACCCACATTTAACAATGTTGCACCAAAAGTAAATTGAACATTGCAAATGAGTGTATTTATGTTTTAGATTGTACCGTCTTACGTTAAGTCAAAGGGAGTTTTTAACTAACCACTGAGATACAGGCTCGGCCTAGTTCGGTGGCTAGTAGATGTAACTAGGTGTGAATTGTTATTAAATAAAGAATTATTATTATTATTGGATACAGAAGAAGAATCTGAAACAACTGCGGCCCGACTGTCACGTGGTGCAGTACCGCATCGTGCTCGGCAACAAGGCGGCCTCCGCCTCCGAGCTACACCAGCGACCCTCCACTGGGTGAGTACACGACTTCACTGCTCTTGGAATATTATTGATTATTTTTCAATAGACTTCGAAAAAGCAGGAAGTTTGTCACGACTACATTAAATGGCTAATATAATATAAAAACATAAAATAATGTACTATTTTATGTTTTAACCCTTAAATACCTGAAGTTTCAATTTTGATACCGGGCTTATAATTCGCATTGGGCGCCTACAATCGATTTTATTTTAATATTTAGCTGTTTACATGTTACCAAATTTTTTTTTTTTTAATAGATATATAAAAATATAGTTTTGATTTTTTTTTTACTATTTTTCCCCATTAGTAAACACAGTAAAGGGTACACTTATATATTTTTTTAATTTGATTTAAAAAAATCAGGCTTTTTAGGGTTAAAATTACATTATCATTACAACAGTAAACTACGCCAAATTTTTTCATCAAATATACCTCAGAATTTGAAGACGAAGGTCTTTAACCAGTGCGTGTTGCCAGTGATGACTTATGGAACCGAAACATGGTCCTACACCATTACCCGTATGCAAAAGCTTCAAATTACTCAACGGGCTATAGAGAGGGCTATGCTCGGAGTATATTTGCGTTTTAGAATCTGAAACGAGGATATCCGCGAAAAAGCCAAACATAGCCCGAAGGATAAGCAAGCTGAAGTGGCAATGGACTGGTCAAATAGCTTGAAGAACCGACAACCAATGGAGAAGAAAGGTTCTTGAGTGACGACCCCATACGGGCAAACACAGTGTAAGACAACCCTCGCTATATAGTGTACCAACCTCAAATGCTTTGTAGGGAGTTAGTGGATGCAGGTGGCCCAGGACAACTCCTTATGGCAGTCTATGTGAGAGGCCTATTATGTTCAATAGTGGACAGATAACGGCTGATATGATAATGAGTATTTTAGATAATCATCCCAATTGGATTGCAACAAAAGCGACATTGTAATATAATTTATCCCATTACAGTCACGATCCCAACCTGGAAGAGTTTCTGAACAATCTGTACAGCAAGTCTGGCGCATCGCCATCTGGTGGCAGCAAGCCGCCCGACACAGATGCTAAGAAGCGACGCAATAAGAAACCAAAAGCTTAATCCGACCCGCCCGATGTTCCTGCCCATATTTGATCGTAATCGATGGATGTTGGGTAATTAATTAAAAGTATTTTTACATTTAATTTACAGGGAATCGATTTTTTTTACCATAGACAATAATTATGCGCAGCAAAATTTTTAGTACAATTGTAACTGCGCAAGTCACTGCATTAAATGAAATCAAACCATAGACAATTCAATTACCATAATTGTAGTATTAAAATCATGCTCAAGTTGCAGTTCGCAGCGTAAGAACAAAACCATAAAAAATCTGCTTGTGCAATAAATGATTTTGTGTGTGTATATATATATATATAACTCAAGTACTTTGCTGTTATCAATACCTAGCACAGAAAATGCCGACTGTATTTTCAAAAATGTCTCTATGTGAATTTATTAAATTCAAATGTTCGTTCCCAATAATCTGTCTGCCATTTGGCTTATAGTGTATTAAAATACATGATGAACGCTCTATATAAACAACTCATGGTGGTTCAACCACTTTCAATAAAAAAAAATCTTATTAGGAAAAGTTGCTTAGAGGGAAAAAAGGAGTATAAGAATACTTACCGTCTGGAAAATATTTTTTTTTTCAAACATGCTTGGAAATGTGAGCATTATTTTGACAATCTTCTTCGAGATAAATCAAAATTGCTGTACTGGCCAGATACATGCGGGCAGCGGCCGGCCAAAGTTGTAAGAACATCCATATTTGTCGTGTTTTGCGGCCAGATAAATTACTATATAAACTCATATCTGTCCTGTAATTTAAAAATGGAATGACCTTTTACTTCGAAACGTGGCTACTAAGAAGGTAACTAATAAAAGATTTTATTTAAATTTTGAACTGGCTTGCAAATAGAAAGCTGTTTATTGAAAAAAAAACAAAGGAACATTATGGCGCGTGAAAAATTATTATTGTTCGTTATTCGTTATTGAACTTAAAAAGTAAAATTGTGTTTTTGATTTCCGCGCATTGTTTGAGAAAAGTACTATACAAGCCTTGGCCACAACTAGGCATTGATGGACTCACGTATGCCTCGGCTACGCCTCGGCCCATTTGCACGTTCATCCATCAATGCCTCAGTTGCTGGCCGCTGCAGTAATGTACTATATTTCTTTTACTAAGCTGAGTAGAATAAATAAAATATAATGTTGCTTTTATAGAGCGTTCACTGTATAACCTTAATATGCGAAAATTAATCGAATATATTTGAAACTGATTAGTTTTAATGGATAGTTTTATATTAAAGGTATATTATTGGGAACAACAAAGTTTTTAAGATTACACATACAAAACAGTATGTATTATTAATATCTCTATACCTTATCTCATTAAAAATTACAGATTTCTTTGCTTGAACAGTAACCTCTCCCGTTTTTAAGCTTACAATTAAAAATTCTTCTTATAACCTTATTTGTAGCTGAATGTCCATCGTTTTCAGGATTCCTATCATAAAACTTTTATCTACCAAACATACTGGCCAAATATCACGATGTATCACTAAAAAGGCGTTAAATAGAAAGTCATGTCACTTAGGATATTATTACGTTATTATATTTATATAAATATCAAGGTCTGGTTTCGATTTTAATATTATTTATTTAGTTGATTTCTTCTCGAGCTCCATTCTTCATAATAACTAAAACCAACAAACCTTAACTATTCTTTCTATTAAATAGTTTTATCACTTTCTTTCAAATTGAGAAATTAGCGCAAAAGAAAAAGAGAAAACATTTCAATACGTAAGTAAAATAAGTGTATGAGACTAATGTTTAATGAAATATAGACTTAGATTATATAGATAAAGCATTGAGTATCAAAAACGTATTGACATGTAGTCAGCTAAATTGATATTGGGCAGTCTCAATTTAAAAGAAAAATTTAAAACAGACACGCCTTTTTTTTCAGTGTTACTAGTAATTGGATAAAAAATATCCCAGATCAAGTCGATTTCTTAAGTTTGTATTGAAAACTATTTTTTTTTCTGATATAAATATGCATATACTTACAATTATGGCAATTTTCAATTATTATAAATCAAGCGTCATTACAAATCTTTATGCACTGTTTACCTTGTTCTTTAAAATATATTTTTATTTGTTTTAATTTTTTATTTCATCTTATAATGTAATTTCTCCTATATACTGAGTAATAAATGTACATTATGATAACTTTATTAACGCACACATCGATAAAAAAGTTGATCTGTTTTTGTTTCTATATGGGACAATATGGTGAAAATAAATATGAATAAAATTAAGCCATAGACAGAGTAATCTCGGACATAGACTAAAAAAATAACATAGATACCAGGGACCAGGCCATCCCTTGTAAATTATAAATGCAACAATAGATATGTTTCACCTGATAAAGCAACAAATCAATTTAATAAATTATTATTCATTATAATATTTTATTAAAATGAAAACGAATTTACTTTTATGGGTAATTAATGTAATTATATCCTTTGAATATGAAATGTAATAAACCGATAAGATAAAAGTTTTATGAAAGGGAAGTCTTGATCGATCTCTCACATAACTAGAAAACTAAGAAAATTCTGCCTTTCAAGTTATATATAATAATATATATATAACCAGTCAATAAATTAACTATTATATTTATTTGGGTGTAATCAAGATAAGCACTCAAAGGATATTGTATTAAATTTAGTCAAATTCGTTGACGTACCTACTTATTAGGTTAGTTTCATTGTAACTCACACTGTGAGCACGACTCGATATCGCTTGAAATTCCATTTCGATAAATACTGATTGATATTTTTTTTAATATAAATGTTTTCAAATTTATATCGGAAACTTGCCAGTGTTGCCAGGATGAAATGTTGTCTATGACCTTTTCCATCTCAATTATAATTTTTATGACAATTGGTTTGTTAAAGCGCTAAGAGGAGACAAATTTGCCTTTACAACCCATTAAGGTCTCACTACGAGGTAAGGGTTCCCCTACCCTTCCTTTTATGAGGGCACTATATAGTTTATTATTACCACGCTGGCCAGGCGACCCGTCATATAGAATTTTATTTCGAATACACACTGGTACTTTTTAATTTATTGTAAATAATTTTCATCGATATTCCAGTCATGCTTAAAGTCTCTTTTAAATATGTTTAACGTATTAATTTTTTATTCTAATGAGAATATTTTTTATTTTTTAAGTTTGTGATAGTCAAGTATCATTTTAGTGTAACGTAAACAAATGGCTTTGCATTTAATACGCTGAATTCGAAGTGAAGTGAATTTATTAATTAATAATTACTATAATGTAAACATTAACAATCTTCCATTGTCACTATTTTATTAAAAATCGTATTCATACTAGGATCTCTTGTGGACATACAATTACTTCGAAGACTGTATTTTCTATGTACTCATATGTCCAGTAGATGGCTAATGTCAAAGTATCTAGTTAATGTCAGACATCATATACTAAATGCATAGCTACTGAATTCGTTTCTCGGCCAAGCCAGATCAATATAACTCCGTTTAAGAATGCATTTAGTATTGCGAACTAATAATAATTCAAAACCAGTCATATTGCCATCAAAATTCATATTTCTAACCTCCAACAAATGGAGAATGTGTTGTAATTCTAATTTAGACTCTAAAAATTATATTAATATGGTTTAATGTAATAAAGCAGCTGGTTCTGCTTAAAGAAAATACCATTCTAGTAGAAATGGTAGAAAATTTTTAAAATACTAACTTCGCGTTAGGATCTCTAATTGATATTTTCAAAATGGAATTTTAATATTTGGGCTCTAGCTGGACTCAAACCTACGTCATCATAATTCAGATTCAAAATTTGAGTCCTAGTGGAGCAAAAATATTCAGTCCATTTTTCTAATATTCGTTAGTAGAATTGTAAGTTAAACAATTTGTCATTTTCTTCACTTGTAAAAATCTGTAATCACCGAATAGTACAATTTTGCATTAATTTTGATTGAATATTGTTGTTTACATTTTGTTTGTAATGTATTAATTATTAATATTTATGTTGCAAAAAACGTTATAAACACACGCAAATATAATTTGTCTCGTTACTTTATAATATATAATTATTATTTAATTTCTTTTTAGAAATAAAATTTGGCCAAGTGCGAGTCAGACTCGCTCAGTCAGTTATGTATAATTAAAAAAAATAGTTTTTTTGTGTTGTAACTACAAATTTACAGTTTCGTATTTTTTCTTTTACTTGTGCTGTACAATATTGCTTGATGCAAGATTTCATGATTCTAGGTCAACGGGAAGTACTCTATAGGTATTGAGTTCAAATGTCAAAATGTACGCTATAAAAGACTGTATCTTTTGATTGCGTTGACTTAGAACTTTGATTTTTTACACGGCGTCAGACTTGAATATTTAATTTCAGATCAATGCCTCCACGCATTTCTGAGAAAAAAAAGTTTGACAAACGGGCAACAAAGTGACCCCATATGGGGTCCGCTTTTTTTTTTTAGAGGTTTGGAACCCTAAAAATTAATGAAGTTCTAAAATAAAGAGATTATATGAAATTTAAGTTAAACTGTATTTTATAACGTCTTTTACAGCATTTCACTGACATGTGATACAAGTCGATAATTTTACCGAAGAAGCGTATAATTTTAAAAAGTAATTTAAATATAATTTATGTTAATTGACGTATTATTATATCTAAAAAGTTCAACAATCATTGCATGCAATAACATGAGATCCATCTAGTACACTTATTATAAATTTCCTACCTATGCAACCAGAAATTGTCTTCCGGTAAACAAAAGTGCCTCGTCTTCAGAACGCTAAATGTACATTCTAATTGAGTAGTAACAAGAATTAATCATGAAACCCATTACTACTGTTAATCATCTTGTCATTTTTACAGTGAAAATTCGGAAAGTGATTTTCACTCTCAATGACTTAATACCACACTTGCTTCATAAAAAATTCGCATGCTACTTGTGAAATATACTTAACAAGAATGTACCAATAGCTTGTAAGAAGAGGCCAATGATCTCAAACATAGGACGTAAGCCGCCTATGTATCCGACCAGTATAGCACCAAGTTATCGACTTTGTTTCACATGAGCTAGAAGCATATTTGTTTCACTGCCTTTATACCGGAGATTATCGGTTAACGTTAGACTAGTGGCGAAGAGATTGCTGTCCTAAAGTTCACTGTGCGTAGGCCTTCGTGCTTCATGTGTCAATAAAGATGTGGAAATAACACTTTTGATATTTTATTTCATGGCTTTACCCACAAAGTACCTATTATTATTAACATAATAAATATACACTAATAAAAAATAATAAAAAACATTAACAAATAATAATTTAATAAACAACATAGTACAACATGGGCATTTGATACAAAATCGCCACGATCCATGCTTATTACAATTACAGAAACAAGTGACGTCAGTAGTTACCATGCTTGGCAGGCAGGTTGGCAATCGCAGTTAGGCTTTGATGTTTAAAGAGAGACCCTACTGCCCATGTCTCGACCATTAAGTTCCCTTAGGCTCCTTTTACGACACCCACGAGAAAGGAAGGGGTGGCTCATTCTATGCTGGGACCACACGGCGACCACATTACGTACGCATTACCATATAAATATACTTCAATACACTTTTTTGAGAGAGCTAGTTTACAATAATAAACTATTTGCTTGAGATAATTTTTATTTTACATCTAAGATTCCATAGCATCACTCTTGCTATCTCTGTCGGTGACAATGCAATTCTCGTAAGTCCACTTGGGGAACATTCGTTTGTAGAGGTTCAGTAGGACCGTATCTTGTGACTTTAACTGGTCATCGAATACACACTTCATGTGGCCGTGAGTACCTGTGAAAAATGTACATACATATATACTTCCTTATTTATAAAAACATCAAACCTCTTACACCTATTTTAACTATAGAAAATTAAAAGAAAGTGACAAAATATGAAATAGAGAAGAATATAGACTACTTTTTAACTCGGTCAGTGAACATATCCCAGTCACATTATAATAATATCATTTAAACCAAAACGCATTAGAAGCAGTAAAAATACACATATATATAACCATGCAGATATCTGTGAAATATCTCTCTGCTGCTAAATAAATAAATCTACAATTGTCAACGTTTTTTTTCTTTATTTAAGACTTTCTCCGGCCACTTTGTACGCGTTGATTTCAATAATAAGAAAACCAATGAAATATAACACCTCTAGACGGATAAAACATACACCAGTATTTAAGTTACACCTTCAGGCACACAACTATAAACCAATTTCATACAATAGTTTTTGCATAATGCCGGAACTAACTAACATAAAGACAGACTTAATTTTAGAAAATGATATAAAATTAAGACATATTTCTCATGTACAGACAATATCCAGTTACAATTTTATTATATTAGTAAAATAGAATTCGTAGTTATTTTAATTGCTGTACTTTCTTTACATACCCAGTGATTCTTTGATGTGTCCCGTCCGTCCATATTTCGTCCTCAGCTTGCACGGTTTGAAATACAACACATCCTCGCGGTTGAAAAACATAAATCGTATAACCGCTGACCTTTTGTGAACCTAAAAATAATGTAATACGAAATTATATAAATTATTATATAATGCAAATAAAGAATACTCATTCATTCAATACTTTTTCATAGTCAATGTTTATATAGAATAGAGTTTTATTGGTATTTACAAAAATTCAAACAAAACAATAAATACCTTATAAGGATGTCCAGAGAGTACAATTCGTTTGATGATCAACCTGTCAGGATTACATGACAGCAATACGCCAGACGCAATCAATTGCAGTTTTGTGTTCCTTTTCTCCTGCAAATTTAATTTTATGCATCACCATTTTACACAAAATATTTATTTTCTATGCCATTGTGACCCCGGTATAAAATGGGCCATCCCTTCCTTTCTCGTGGGTGTCGTAAGAGGTGACTAAAGGAAGTTAATGATCGAGAGATGGGCAGCAGCGTCCCTCTTAAAATATTACCAAAAGCCTAATTGCTGTCGCCAACTCGCTTACCAAACGTGGTAATTACTGGCAAAATCCCACTTATGAGGGAGGCCTATGTTCAGCAGTGGATAGTTAACTGATAGGTTCCGTTACATCAAATTTCCCAAAGTGGGCGATAACGCCCCCTTGTGGGCGCTGCAGGCCTCAAAGGGGGCGGTAAGAGACCCAGAAAAAAAAATGGGGATGTTATGTAACGACTTGTGGGGTGATTTGATGATCTTGAAGTAATAGTAGTTTTTAAGTAGGTGAAAAAATGGGGGCGCTAAAAATAATTTATATTCTCAAAGTGGGCAGTAGACAAAATAAGTTTGGGAACCTCTACATTAGATAGATGGATAAAAAAAAAACAGAGAGAAGCATATATTCTTATGATACCCTTATAAATAAAGAGTAATGGGTAGTAAAATAACTTTAATGCAAACTCACCTTAAAACACAATACAGTGGATGGACTAAATTGAATTGGAGCATAGAAAGTAGCAACACATGTAGATGCAGGCTGGAAAAATCTTTCATACTGAAATAAAATAAAAACATAGGTTAAAACATAGACTTAGTATAACATACTTATTCATATTCTAAAGGTTAAAATCTAATTGGCAAAACTGTGTCGACTTAAATTACGACTAACTTCCTGTTGATGGTAAACACCATTGTATTTTAACATTTGTATTACAGTCGTGAACTTATATTTATTTTCTCAATTAGCTATCGTTTATGTACATTAAAAGAAAAAGTATCCCAACATATTAATCTAAGTTATAGTGTACCCATATACATTTCATATACCCATATTTATTTATAATTCAAATCCCTTCTGCCGGCACAGAATACGCCAACCCTTTCTATCTCTTGGGTGTCGTAAAAGTTGACTAAGGAAGGGATGGGCAGCAGCATCTCTTTTAAAACATCTCTATAGTCTGACTGCAGTTGCCAATCAACTTGCCAAGCGTGGCAACTACTGGCAAAGAGGGAGAAGATTATGTTCAGCAGTGAACAGTTAATGACCCATATGATAATAATAAAGTAACAAATATCCAAACACAAATTTACAATCTATCACATTTATAAAATTAGTTCATTATCAAAATTAGATTAATGACACTCACCTTATGTTTACTGCCATTAGTGTGCTGACTAAATATGGGGTTTACAATAAACCTCCGATATCCCACTTGAAATATTAGCCTCTCTTTGCTCTTGATGGGCTCGTCACTGGCGCCAGTACGCTTCAGTACTACATTCATGAGGGACATCTTGTGTTCGTGTGGCAAGAGTCCAAAGACTGCAAGTGGGGCATTTTGGTTGGCTGTGTGATACACCTTCCACAGATCTTGACGGACATCTTTTACATGGATCGTTATATAAAATCCATACTATAAATAAGTTAATTATTACCATTGATAATTAACACCATAAAATTTACAATAATAATTTAGATAAAAAAAAGATTTAATATGTGTTTGAAAGATTTTAGCATAGCTCAAATAGCTATTAAATATTATTACCTTGGAATGTTTAATTAGTAAACTAAATTAATAAACATGGCATAAATAAATTTATGCAATATTATTTTTAATCTTATTTTAAAGTTATATGCATGTGAAGCTGTTAAATGTATTAATATAATAAAAAAATGGCTTCTTACCATATTAATTAAACTATCCTTATTCTCTTTAAAAATCCTTCGTCTAGTGCGGTCGTAATTTTCAAACTGGAAAATACGAGCATAATCTGCCGGCAGATTCTCCTTGGGGTCCCAAGGGGAAGTTCTGAAAGACTCTAAGCCTCTATATCTCATAAATCGCTCCCTGGCTGGCACATCTTGCGGAGTATCAACCTCATCAGGGAATTGCCTATCCTCTTTAGCAGCTGCCAACTTGTGTAGCATTTCATGCTCTTCATGAGCATCAATTGTGGTATCATACTTCTCATCACTAACACCAACTTCAGATTCAGTGACAGATTCAAAATCGTTATCCTCAGCATCCTCTGCATCCGAGTTGTCTTCCTCGCATGACATAAATTCTTCATTCTCAGATTGACTTTCGCTTGCATCAGAACCTTCACCTTCAACATCTGATTCCACAATCCAAGCAGCTTGATAGTCTGACCACCCTTTTGGAACCTTCTTTACCTTCTTCGTTTTTGTCTGAAACATAAATGATTAAAGTATAGAAAAATGATAATTTTTTATTATTTAGGTTTACCAACAATTGTTTCCACAAAATAATGTAAATATATATACAATTATGGAGCTTAGAACTAAGTGTAACAATTTTTTATAGGCAAACACAGCATATATTGATACATGTATAAGTACAGAAGTAAGAAGTAAGTACAGTAAGAAAAGACTATGTGAATTTGAATTAATCAGTTGCTATAATTTAGGGATGAGAAAGGATGAATGAAAACATACAATAATATCTAATATTATGTAGTCTTTAATTACTCCAAAGTTATAAAGGTGTGAGTTTGTGATATAATATTAATTTGATAATTATAAACCTTATTCAGGAAATAATTTATAATCAAAATCTAGCAACTTACAGAGGAATGCCAGATATTAACAAGTACATAAACTTATACTTAAAAATATTTGCATAACATTACCTCTAAATTAGCTTGTTCAATTTCTTCCTCTGTTGGCCATGTCTGCTCTGCATCCATTGGATCAGGTATATTTTCAGATGCCAAGCTCTCTTGCTTAGTAGGATCAGCAACTTGTAGCACTGATGTTTTAGTTATTTCAGCATCCATTGAATCAGATTTTGTATTCTCCTTCCCCAAATTCAAACTATGTGGATCCTCATGTCCATCAATCCTTATCATCTGAAAGTCTCCTAACCCAGTTATATGCACCAAACCATTTACATTTAATGGCATCCCACGTAAATATCCACTAACTTTTAAAGTACCACTTTCTCCTTCTGCATCAGGAACATATTGAACTTCTTCAGCTAGTAAATAAGGTCTCTTTTCCCTATGATGGATAATGTTACGTTTCTGATTTCCAATTCTACGTAATAAATTCAATCCATCAGAACTTTTGTCCAATTGCATTACTTTCTCTTCTGGAAGCCATTTTGATATCAACTTTTGAACATTTTGTTTTTCTGTGGTGCGTTTCTTTGGGTGAACACCTTCTATGTCCATAGCAACTACTACTGGAGTAGGCATGCCCTGGGCCATGGATAATGCTAAAACCTTCTCTCCCCATTCATCAACAGGTTCATCTAAAGCCGAGCTAACAAACAGTGCTGTGTCTGCAATTTTAAGAGCATCCAGCAGAGCAAACTCATTGTCTACTTCAGGACAAATAAAGGAGAAGCGTTGCTTGAAGTTTGGTAGGCTGAAACATTTATTTTTATTATTGTAAATAATTTTTAAAGGTATATGTCACTTGTACTTCAAAACATGGTTTATATTCTACTTCTACTTCTATATATATATATATATATATATATATATAAAGTGTGAAAATATCAAGGCAATGTCACTAATTCTTCCAAGATAATGGTGCTTACCATAAAGTCAGAGTAAGAAATATTAAAGGACTAATTATTACCAGATTTATTGATATTATTTACACCATATGTCAATGCAAGTAAAACAAAACTACAAAAACACTTCAAATATCTCATAAGCCCGTTTTAGCTACTGAAACGTTTTGTCCTTTTCTTTTGTACTAACTTCTCAATATAAAAGGCTGACAAAACACTCTAATAGTTGAATAGGTTCATAGGATGTTTTAGTTTATATGAATAAGAGGCTTAAACACCTGTACATTAATAACAGACCTATGGCCAGTAGTGAGTAATGTAATGTAAATTGGGGTCTCTTTTCTGCAATTAGTCTCTCATTTGGGCCATTGTGTGTATGAGTCGTGACTAGTACAGCCAACCCAGCTCCGCCCAGAAGCACAAAAGCTTACTGGGATCTTCACAGGCCTCACGGAGCGACCTCACCATTCTGAGAATTTCTAAACATTGATGAGCCACAGCTTTACATTCCAGTCGGTCAGTAGTGAGATTAATATTTCACTTACCCAATATGCAAAATCCCATTTTCGGACTGTGACACAACTGCTTCCTCAGAACATGTTTTTAATATGACCAAAGCTGATTGCACATCCAGTTGAGCATTCAGGGGTACGACACATACTAAAAACGGAGGATATCGTGTGCCGCCAAGTGCACGTTTCTTAGCCAAAACCTCCTCACGTTTATTCTTGCGAATTTGATTTGCTTGGTGCCGACGCTCATCTTTCTTGAGAATATGACGATTACGACGGACAAATTCTTTCACATTTACTTTACCTGTAAAAAATTTGGTTTTAAATACGAAAATTTTAGGAATAAATGTACGAGGTAAGTTAAAACCTAACCTTTAACTGCAGCCGCTATTCCGCGCTTCGAACGATGGCGAGATTTGTGAGTTTTATTGCTTTGTTTCAAATGTCCGGGACGATGTGTATGTTGCATGATTAAATAATCATAGATTTAACGTTCAACATATAAAAACTATTATTTATTTACAAAAAAAAACATTGAAAACACATGGTAATAATGGATGTAATTTTATGAATGTTGACAACAGAGACCATACACTGAATATTCTCTCTAATCTGTGGCTAAGTGTCATACATGTGAAATTGTCGTTATTTGACAGTTTAACATTGATGTTTATCAGGCAGCATGATCTCCGACCTTAGCCTGTTCCAAAACGAAAGAAACGTACTAAAAAAATTGATGTTTATCATTGTTACCTAGATATAGGTAAATCAATGCACAAAAAATTATTACCCTCAATCTATAACAGTGTTCATTTAAAATATCTCCATTAAAAGTTATTAAACAAAATCACAATCGCAACCTTATTTTTAATAAAATTCAATGCATATGTTTTATTTTTAAATCAACTGACAAACTTATATATTGTGATTTCTTATAAAACAAATTACTATGGATTCTGAAACACCATTTCCATAAATCTACTTTTGAAATTACAATGTTTATTGAAATGTTTATTCTAAGAACCAGTATAAACAAATTTTATAATAGATTTATTTAAAATTAATATCAATTTGGTTAATATGAAAAAACTATACTACATCTAAATCGGGTTTCAAGTATTACCACTGACAGAGATATGAGGTAACAAACGTAAAAAAAATACAACCGAATCGAATCTCCTTTTTTTCGAAGACGGTTGAAAAATAAGCTGTTAGCTTTATTTTAAATTGTTAAACAAAAGTATAAAAGAATGCTGGGATGAAGGCGTCTCGGTTGGGAATCGACAGGTGTGAAACTCGAGATACGCTGATGATACTATTCTTCTTGCATAATTAGAGAAAGACATGGAATTATTTTTGAGACGCTTGAAGACTGTAAGCCTCTCCTTCACTTGAAATCAATAGAACCAAAACCAAAATGATGATTGTGGACAAAACTGAACACAATAGACTTTATATAATGACAATCGACAACTGTGAAGTTGTTACGAGTTACGTATACCTTAGTTCCATGATCACAAATACTGAAGAGTATGAGGACAAAATAAGAAGGAAATGTGCTATCACAAATACTACTGTGAGTAAATTGCATAAAATCTGGCAGAACCGTAATATCGCAAAGAACACCAAAATACATGTAATGAGTTTGTTTTTTTCAATTTTCCTGTGTGGTGTAGAAACTTGGATGATGCTGAGCAACAAGTAGAGATGCTCTAAAGATGTGGTGCTGCAAAACTTGCTGCAAATACCTTGGACTGCCTTTTGTACTAACGTTTCCATTCTGAACGAACTGAAAATCAGAAATTATCGTCGACTATTCAAACACTAATTCTCAATAACTTCGTTTCCATAACATCCGGAAATAAATTTGTATGGAATGTCTAATTGTCCAAAGCTCGTGACAAGGCAAACGTTCTCGGAGTAGATCACCAACACAATGGATTGACCTCATCAAAACGGCCACACATCAGTCCATTTTGGAATGCTCTCACTCGGCTGTGAGTAGAAATAGATGGAGACACATTGCGAGAACTTTAATCGCGAAGGAGGGTCTCATCGCCGATGCACTATCCTCATAAAAACCACGACCATTCTGTTAAGAGTACATGACTGAAGAGAGATAAAAGACTATCGTGTTTACACTAGCATAATAGTCTTATTAAAAACCACTCATTAGTTAATTAATTATTGAAAAATAAATATTATGAATGGAACGTAAATTTGAAATTTCTTTTATTAAATGAGGAATGTACCTTTCAGTTTCTAATATTTTTTCATAATATAAGATAATAAATGAGATGGAAACATAATGATGGATTTAAAGTATCTTTACCGTATTTCTATTTAAAAAGTGAGCTGTAACTTATATCATCATTAATAACTTTAAGGTTCTATTCTTATAAATTGTATAACACGATGACATAAATTATAAATATAAGGCCGTTATAGACGCCTCTACCTCTAATATTAAAAAGATGAAAGTTTATTAAAATTATTTTTTACTTAGTGCCATATAATAATTCAACAAACATCTTGAAATGCTTTATATAAAACATATTCGTAGTGTAATCGGAATAAAAATATAACATAACAAATCTTAAAATTGTAAATAGCTGGAAAAAAGGCAATGTTCAAGTAAGAAAATATACGGGCAACATAGCAAACGCCAACATCACAGGTCACGTGACGTGACGTTGTGGACGTGTCATTTGCAGACAGCTCGTTGGCGGCGTTGCGCAGGCTCTTTTTTCGTAAAAGTCGTGTTGGAGTGTTACTAATGAACAAAAGTTGAATGGTTTTAGTCGAATTAATCAGTTGATAATTTAGTTAGGATAGTTAAATCGCAATAAATCAAAATGGGAAGTGAGTATACTTCATAATTGTTACTAAATTTAGTGCATTTCTCTTCGAAACATTTCGTAGTATTTTATGTGATTGTTACTCCCTAAATTCAATATTATGTGATAAATGTGTTATATGATCTTTAATTTCTTGCCTTTACAGTTAAATTCCTTGAAGTTATAAAGCCGTTTTGCAGTATATTGCCGGAGATAGCAAAACCAGAGAGAAAGGTAAGTGTTTTATATAAATTAATATTTTAATACTTTCTTTGCCTTAAATGAATTTAATTCCTTATTCCATAGCATAATCATTTATAAATCTTTTTAATTTTAAAATTTGGACACCAAACATAAGTGAAAGTAACTTAACCTTACCAAAATTTGGATTTGGAATGAGTAACTGTACATCAAAGTTTGCAATACTGTTAGTTGTATTCTAAGTAGTCACTTTGTTTTTCAGATTCAATTCCGTGAAAAAGTATTATGGACTGCAATAACATTATTTATTTTCCTAGTATGTTGTCAGGTAAGTGATTATATTGCCACATAATGTCTTGTCCATATGCGCCACATAATCATTATTTTATTCAAATATCAGAAGCTATTGTTTACAACCATTTTATTGTTTAATACTATAATAGAAATGTTTGCAATTTATTATACTTTAGAATAAACATTAATATTTTTTTCTTTTGAATAAACTGAAATATTGAACAAGAATCCAGTTGAAAATACTGGTTAGTGGTTACTTTATTGTTTTGCGGAATAGTAATTCACACAATGCTTGTGCTATTACCTATACATATATGCATGTATTGGTTTCTATATACATCATTATTATGCCTGTTAAGCATGGCAGCAAACCCTCCTGTAGGGGGAGATCTATGTTCAGCAATGGACTGATAATAGCTAGTATACTTCATTAGGTAGCATATTGTACATATTATATTAGAGTTAAATGAATAAATAAGCAAATATTAACTACCAAAGATACAGCTATCAATTTATTATTAATGTTTTAGATATTTCTTTAACAATAAGACTGCCTTTGGTAATTTATAAGTATAATATATATACTTATGTATTTTTTTTTACTTTTGACCATGCAGTAAATAAATAAAATACTTTATTATTTACAGATACCCTTATTTGGTATAATGTCATCAGACAGTGCAGATCCTTTCTATTGGATCCGTGTAATCTTAGCATCAAACAGAGGAACACTCATGGAACTTGGTATCTCACCTATTGTCACATCTGGTCTCATCATGCAGCTATTAGCTGGTGCAAAAATAATTGAAGTTGGTGACACTCCAAAAGACAGGGCTTTATTCAATGGTGCTCAAAAATGTAAGTTGATATTTTGTTCTTTTATAATTTTCACCTGTGACTTTGTCCATGTATACTAGGGTATGTTTACTGACTGAGATAAAAATTAACTTATATCCTTCTCCATATCATATAGTATGTGTATTCTAAATTTGAAAGAAAGAAAAAGTTTTATTGACAACCAGTTGCATTACCAAAATAAAGACAATATTAATTTGCTACAATTTGTTGTCAATGTGGCCAGCACTCAGCATTATGCCATGGCAGTTTATTTACTACCACACAATTTCGTATTTAATGGGTAAGCTGTTAAGGCACTATAAGGTAACAATTAAACTCACTTTCATATTTATAATATTAGTAAAGATTTTTAAGTATGATTTTATCAATTTTCAATTCCTACATATGTCTCTTTTTAATTGCTTTGATAGGCCTCTGTGTTCTCATGTTACTTAAAAAATGCTAAATAACAAATTCTTTATTCACCATTACAAGCACATAATAAGTACATTTAAAAATATAATACAAATACAATAATTAGTCACCCAGGTGTATTAAAGCATCAACAAACATTAGAATTTAAAAAAAAAATACAATAATGTTATTCAAACAGCTTTGTTGCATATAATGAAATGGCAACTAACTCAGGATGCATTGTACATAGTTACAGATTAAAATTGAATATAAATTAACTAATTCATCAACAAAAAGTAGTTATTATAGGTTTGACATTACTGATGAGTGTGAATTTTTAATGATGACACAATTATTGTTAGTAGGCATTTTAAATAAAGATGTTAATAACGCAAATATGTTTTGCATTACCTAAAAAGCAACTTTTAATACTTGTAATTAATAAGAATGCATAATTATTAAGTGTATACAATATTTACAAATGTTAATGTTGATAAACTAAGACAATAGGCTGTTAGAAATTATTTACCATTTTCTTAAGTAAATTTATAGAGAAAATTGTTCTCTAACCCTGACATCGGCAGAAAATCACCGTTGCCTCTATGGTGAAAGCCATTTTTTTTAAAAGAAGAAGAATGAAAATTGCATTTGTAATATGTATTAGCACAAATTGTAATTTTTTATATATAAAAACTTTTTTTTTTTATAATTCATATTATTTTTTAATTTATTTGATATTTAAGAAATCATAGATTTCATTGTTTTGTAATTTTAAATCGTAAGGATTCATTTAAAGGTAATATAATAATTACTCTTCTCCATCCAAAGGTTGCCTAGACTAGATTGTTCTTAGTGATAAGGCTCCACATTGTTTTCTGAGTGTAATATTTTCTTTCAATTCTTTGTATTTATAATAAGTTTACTATTGTAATCTTACGGAGGAAACAATAAAGAGTATCAGTCTATCTAATATATAATTGTTTCCTAATAAGTAAACTACACAACAGTTATTCATTTACTTTTTATATATTTGAGTATACTTTTGATGTTATCCTATTTTAATTAGGTTGAATCTTGTCATTCCAAGTTGCTAAAAAAACAAGGTTTTTAGGCAACTTTTAAAACAATTTTATTACAATACAGAATTTCAAACTTGTTGACCACCTACACTTTTGGAAAGTGTTTTTTTTTTTTTATACAACTTAGTATGACAAACAAGCTGACGGCCCACCTGATGGAAAGTGGTAACCGTCGCCTATAGACATGAGCAGTACCATGGACTTAACAGAGTATACTGTTTCGCCCATGATACCCCCCATGCGTTGCCATTCCTGAGGACTCAGATGTTATTCCTCTGTGCTGTGGACATCGCAGAAGACATTAGGATGCTAATACGAGTAGTACCCTTCATATGTTAATGTTTCTGAGGATTATGTAGTTTTGTCTTCTTATCCTGTACTTCACAGAGTTACTTATACTTCTTATTTGATACATTCTTGATAGAATGGTTCTGATCACTGTGTTGTATAGTGTAGTAGGTGGCCTTCATGTTTCGTCGTTTCCTTCTAGGCTGTTGTTTTAGTGCTTCTCTAAAAAAGACCTCCAACTAAAGAATTTTATTTTTTGTTGTTTCAGTGTTTGGCATGGTGATAACAGTGGGCCAGGCGATCGTATACGTAATGACGGGAATGTACGGCGAGCCTAGTGAAATTGGGGCTGGTGTGTGTCTGCTTATCATCATCCAGTTATTCGTCGCCGGTTTGATTGTGCTGCTTCTTGATGAACTCTTGCAAAAAGGTATGGCCGATTTTATATTTTTATTCTTAGACATTTTTATTCTTTTTATTTTTATTTTATATTTTTATTTTTTATCTTAGATTTTAGGTTTTTAATGTGATATCTTGAAATATTTAATATTAAAATTCATTATAATCATATCTAATATGTACATGTTTTGTAATATACTTCCCCATTGACATTAACATTCAGCGACACATTTTGACACCCTCTTTTTCCCATGGGTCTCTTAAAAGGCGACTAAGGGAACTTAAATGTTTGAAGAATAGACAGCAGTGTCCTTCTCAAAACATCACCAAAAACCTAACTGCGATTGCCAATCCACCTGCCAAGCATGACAACTACTTGCAAAACATCCCTTATGTGGTACGCCCATGTTCAACAATGACAGTTAATGATTGTTATGATGATGAACATTTTTGTGGTCATTTCTCTATTTAGTGCAGGAATATCATATGCTGTATATTGCCAGATCTCTAAAATAAATTATTACATTCATTACAAAAAGGCAATACTAAGTTTTAGTATTCTATTTCATATATTAATGATGGTCATCATTTTGGTGAACCTATCATAAAGTCATTAAGTTACTTCAGCTATAATAATGAATGATAGCTGTTGGTAAACTATCTTGGTTATTATCACATAATGTACTAGTTAGTCTAATTAGACTTGTCTATGTCCACTAACGCTATTATGTGATTCAAATATATTTTTAGCCTTTATTACAATGTTGCCATTGTTTACAGGATATGGTCTGGGCTCTGGTATTTCACTGTTTATTGCCACAAATATTTGTGAAACTATCGTCTGGAAAGCATTCTCACCCGCTACCGTCAATACTGGTTAGTATGAAGCCTTAATGCATATTAAAAAATATATAACTAAATCAATTTTAACAAATTAAAATAACTACTAAAAACAATTTTTTTTTTGTTTGTAACGAATATACTAAAAAAATTACTACTTAATCGGTTTTAAAAATTATTCTCCACGTGCAGGTCGCGGCACAGAATTCGAAGGCGCCGTGATAGCGCTGTTCCACTTGCTCGCCACCCGCCCGGACAAGGTCCGTGCCCTCCGCGAGGCTTTCTACCGACAAAATCTTCCTAACCTGATGAATCTCCTTGCCACAGTTCTGGTCTTTGCTATCGTCATATACTTCCAGGTATGTTATCCTTCTAATATTACATGTAAAAGTTTGTAAGATATTTGTATGTTTGGTAAATGGATTTGTATACAATTTGATATATGGGTAGATTATATCCTAACTTAACACTTGAAATACTTTTGCACGCGTACAAAGTCGCGGGAAAAAGTTAGTTTATATATTTTAACAGAATCTTTATTTAAGTATAAATTATATTTAAGTATAAATTATATTTAGGTATAAATTAATTAAATTATTAAAATTTTAAAATCATATTTCAATAATAAATTTAGATATTAAAAATTTGATTCACTTTCATTAATATGTCTAGAATATTAATCAGTATAATAAATTAGTAAAATAATTATGCATAAATGATAAATTCAGTTTATCATTTATGCATAATTATTTTGTTCTATATTAACATTTTAGGCATTTAACTTTTTATTATTTAGAAATATTAGACATTATTTTTGATAATGCTCAGATAATTGCATTATTACTTAAATAATGATTATCTATAATTATATATGCTAAAGTATTTATTAGGGTTAAAACAAAGAAGCAGTAGAGTTATTTGTAATAATATTTTTCTCAGGGCTTCCGCGTGGATCTACCAATTAAATCAGCGCGATACCGCGGCCAGTATTCCTCATATCCGATCAAGCTATTCTACACATCGAACATCCCTATCATCTTGCAGTCGGCGCTCGTGTCTAACTTATATGTTATTTCTCAAGTGAGTTGTATTTTCTTGTTAAAGTTATCAATATAAGTTGGGAGAAAGGAAGTGTAGTGATTGACCTGAGTCTGCTACATTCCACTACTAATAATTCTCTTCTTTCTGACAGGGTATATTATTAGCAATAAGGTTGCTAGACATTATATTTTTATATATAGAATGTCGAACAAACTCAAGGTCCACCTTATAGAAAGTGATAACTGTCACTTACAGACATAATAGCATATACTGTAATGTGCAAGATGCTGCATTCCTTGTGTTTCTGAGAACTATGATAAAACTATAGTCCTGAGCATAAGAAGAGGTATAAGTCATTACACCCTGTAAATTCACTGCCATTCGCGACCTTTTGAACCAAAACAAAGACATGCAAGCATAACAGTTTCATAGCATTATTACGAGTTGAATAGTTATCCAGTCTCTTTCCAGTATTGTATTATTAGTAATGGGATCTAACAGTCCCATTGCTACCAAGACCTCTTTATAGTTTCCTCTGGAAACTGCCATGGTTAATCCATCACTCAACTGATTTCGTTCTCGTCTATGATCACTTCTAGTGCCTATCTGTGCAGATAAGGTCAATATTTTTATCCCATTAAAAACTGGTACGTCATTTTTAATAGATGCTAATGGAATAGAACCCCGCCTTCGCTATCGGTATACGTTGGCGAAGTACCAATGAGAGATGATGATAGCTGAAGATGAAAGCATATCATATGGCTCATCATGATCAATTCATAAAGATCCCCCAAACTATGATACTTTTTTTTTAATGGATGATAATGTAATGGTAACCCCGCCTGCGCTAACGGTACACGCTAGCAGTGCACCAGTGTGGAATGATAGGTTTTTTTTTATACAACTTAGAATGGCAAACAAGCTGACGGTCCACCTGATGGAAAGTGATAACCGTCGCCTATAGACATGAGCAGTACCATAGACATGACAGAGTATTCTGTTTCGCCCATGATACCCCCTCTTTTGCCATTCCTGAGGACTCAGGTGTTATTCCTCTGTACCCCAGTAAATTCATGCCATATTCCACCTTTCAAACCGAAACACAGCCATGCAAACACAACTGCTTCATGGTTGAAACACGAATGGGACAGAGATACCTAAGCAATCGACTTTTGTACAAAGTTTCCCTCTGGTAAAGGTGAGTATAAAAAGACAGGTCAGTTAGTCCATTGTGATGAATATACCTGGAATTCAGCACGATAGTTTTCATGCAGATAGAACAAGGAGGACCTCGTGAAGAGACAATACCTACCCCCAACACACTATGATCCTAGCAATCCCCTATATCGTGGGTGGTGGTGTGCAGATGCTGGCGGTGAAGTTCAGCGGCAACTTCCTGGTGAACCTGCTGGGCGTGTGGGCGGACGTGGGCGGCGGCGGGCCGGCGCGCGCGTACCCGGTGGGCGGGCTGTGCTACTACTTCAGCCCGCCGGAGTCGCTCGCGCACATCGCGCACGACCCGCTGCACGCGCTGCTCTACATCGTCTTCATGCTCGGCTCCTGCGCCTTCTTCTCCAAGACCTGGATCGACGTCTCCGGCTCCTCCGCCAAGGATGTGAGTTGTCCCACATGGCACATACATACAGTAGTAATCATTACAAGAAATAAACACATAATCACAGCGAGGAAACAAGATGAAAACATAACGTTATCTTCATATCGAGATATTATGGTCTTTTAAAATACAACTTAATAATTTGTAACCAAATTTTGTTGACATTATCACAGACAAACTTTAAATTAAATTAGTAACTAATGAAATGATACCACTCTAGTAATTAACTGAATTTTTATATGTTCTACTGTCCAAGACTGTCCTATGATCGGGTCAGTTGTTTATTTGCATTTTCATTCAATTCTATTGCAAGAAGTTATTTAGTTGAAATTTGGCCTGTTTTTATTACGACTTTTTATGATACACAACATGGGTAAAATGCACAAGATCTTTTTAAGTAATTAGTTTTATTGATAGAAAATTTTATTAACCATAATGAATTAATTGAATAAATATACTAATTGTTAATTAAAAAAAAAACGTGTTTTTAGTATATTTATTTAGTAATAGTAAGGTTTACTAGGTAGTGATTTTATAATATTATGTACATGATTTTGTTTCATCGCTTTGTGTCATTGAACAAACTTAACTGTGTACCAGTTTGAAAGGTGACATGGCAGAGAAATTACTAAGTATCTTCTAAAGAGATCCCTTTAAATTTGTATGCATTCTTGAAGTACAAATATCTCTTATTTATCAATTAACTTACTTAATTATCAAAGGAACGATGATTCTGATTAAACTTGAAAAAAAAAAACAGAATTTATTAATAATAGTGTTCACTCTTCTTTAAGAACTAATTTAAATTGTAACACTTTCACATTTAGTGAAAGCGCCGGGGAGCAACTTGACTAAATCAATGTGAATATTACAGGTCGCCAAGCAGTTGAAGGAACAACAGATGGTTATGCGCGGCCACCGAGACAACTCTATGATCCACGAGCTAAACAGATATATCCCGACAGCAGCCGCCTTCGGTGGTCTCTGTATCGGTGCGCTCTCTGTATTGGCGGATTTCCTCGGCGCCATCGGTTCCGGTACTGGTATCCTGCTCGCTGTCACCATCATCTACCAGTACTTCGAGATATTCGTCAAGGAACAAGCCGAGATGGGCGGCATGAGTACGCTGCTCTTCTAAATAGTTTAAATTCCACGCCGCGGCGAACGCTACGCTCAGAGCTTTCGTTTCGTAAGTTTTTTTTTATTTAGTATCGGGTGCAGCGTTTGCCCCGGCGCAGTGTGTGCGTAGCGTGTGTGGGTAATGCTAATTTATATGAATTTAATGAGGTGAACTTTATAATAAAATAATTTACGAGAAGTACACACGTTGTTTTTGTCGAACGTCCGCTGTTAGTCCTTTCGAGTAGTTACTTTTATTTTTTTTTATATATGTTGTTCTTAGTTTTTAAGCGTTCTTTATATAACTTATTACGATCCAACATTGTTAAGTTAATCTTACAAAACTTAATTTTATATTTAAGTTTGTGTTGGATGTTTTGTAAAAGACGTTGTAAAATCAGTGATTTGTATATACGTTGTGCGAGACACATCACATGTTGAGGTTGGACAGCTCAGATTTAATGTCATAAATTTAATACACCACACATGACAGTTATATAATTAAAATATTTTAGAATAAATTATTTCTATTATTTTTTTACAATCCTCAATTTGTAAATTGTTTTTACTTGTCGACAGTTCCAGTTTACGATAAATTATTTAATTTAAAATAAAATGCATTTTATATTACATATCGCAGTAGTTGGTGGCTTGGAGAAACAATGATTCAGAGTAATTTAATACTCTGATTTATTATCTCTCTAATGTAGTAGGTACAGACCTGCTTATTTGATAAATGTGAAAATTAAGGCTGAACAGTTGACACGATTTTATTTGGTATTGAGATACTTCTAACTTGAGTGTTGCCGAGTTCGAATGCACTAAATAACAGGTAGATTAAGATTTTATCTTATTATACTAAGATTCATGAAAACCCTGATTTTTTTCCCCAACTTGTAATAGAAAACACATAGAGGGTCAACCTGATGAAAAGTGCCCAGTCACCCATAGACATGTACAATACCATTGACATCACCAATTTGTATCGCCAGAGGTACTGCAGTACCTGCGTTTTCATTTTTGAGAACTGAATTTTAATGCCTTGTTCATGAATAAAGAATGAAATCAAAAATCCACGCATATGCACGTATACATATAACGTGATTTGTAACAAGCAATTTCTGTTTTGATATGACGAGCACAAATGCATACCGATTGTCCCTCGTCTGTGCAAATTTCCAAATATCAAAGCTTATCATGGGGTGGCTTTCAAAACATTCCTTCTAGGAGGATTCACTATGTATCTAGAATCACAGTATTGGGCCATTTTATAAGGTGAACTATGTAGGTAATTCTATGTTATAGTTGCAAATAACATTGCCTTAAAAGGTATTAAAATCTAAGAAAAAAAAAAAATATGCAAATCTAAAGATATCTGGAAATCTGGTATATTTTATTAGGACTCGTGAGTGAAATCAAACGTAAGTCAATAATCACAAAAAATGAATTTATAACAATTTTTTATAAGCACTATAAAGATAACTCAGCAATTTGAAGTTCTTGTTAATATTATAAATAAACACAATTATATAAATTCATCCACGTCCTTGTCGGACTGAAAGTTCTAGAAAACGGCAAATTATTTTATGTAACTTTATTATTCTCACTAGACATGCAATAGAAAGGACGATAAACAAGAATTTATACGATTGGTAACAAACGTAGGTACATAATCTGTTCTATACTTTTAAATGGCTTATCCCAGGGTAAAGACATTCAGGAAATAATATATTTTGAGATCATATGGAACCAGATTGGTAAGAGATCGAACAAAACAAAAAAGGGTCAAATGTCGCCTAAACTCACAATAATACTAACAATGACCTAAGGGTACATGGCACAATGCTATCGTACCTTACATTTTATATTATAGGCACTTGTATTTAGGTAGTAATCAATCACTTTGTGATTTATTGCTCTATTGATTTAATTAAGTATCGTTTTATTTCCGATCGATCGCTTGGTCCCTTACCAACATGGGATTGTTGCGATAAATCAATGATTATAAAACTGATCTGCGAAAGGAATTTTGAAGGCCAACGCTGTACGGCTGTAACGGTTCTCGGGTACTTTTTTCTCTATCAAAATAAATCCTGTACTGCTTCGTGTAACACACGAGCGACTTAACTATGCAGTTCTAAGTAATGCATTTTTGGCGGATAAATGTAGTGACCTACTCGGAGCATTATTCTGGTTTGTGTAAACTACCAAAAACCTCGTTTACTCGAGCCTGAAATAAGTATCATATACACGGTACAAAAGGAACTGAGCTTCAATGCAACTTACGGATTCTGACATTGTGATCTATGCTCCACTAGTTCCTTCCATAGCCCAGCGAATACAGCCAAGACGAGAGACCTTTTGTCCATGAAAAATTAAATACTACATTAAGCCAGTAATAGATTTTCACGCAGTTGAGTATTATATAAGACATTGTAATTTAACAGACAAAAAAGTACGTCGAGGACTGTGCCTTATTTGCGCCAGGTCTGCTCAGATGGAGTTGCACTCACGAGTGGCATTTGGCCGACGACAGAGATATCTGCAGTCGTCCCCTGTCGAAGACTTATCAGTCTGTTTTTCGACATTGACGTAGGGACTTATTGTCGACGGCAGGACAGTGACGACAACTGCAATTATTTATCTGCCGTCGATCAAGAATTACTTGTGAGCTTAGAGTACTAACAATTTCAAGCTGTATTTATAACGGAACTGTGCGGTAGTTACCTAACCTACGTTAAATTTGTAAAAACTCTGATTAGAAATTCAAATTAATAACGTTATTTTTTAATTAAGTTGTTTATAGTTACCGAGAATCTAGTATACCATTATAGTTCTGTTATAGTGCTCACAAAATAATTTGCAAAACTCTATATATTTCTAGGCAATTAATGATAAAATATATTTTATTATACAAAGTTGATGAAATATAAAGAAGCACTTCACCTCTATGCTATATATCTTTCGCATATATTATTTACAAAGCTAGGTAATCCAAATCTAGTGCTGTCTATATTCCCCTAGTATAGTATGGCAGTATTGCATTTAACATCAATTGGTGTTTCAATATACAACAATTATAATTAAAATAATAAAAGATAACAAAAAAAAAAAAAAACTAAACGTAATAAACGTGCAATGGAAAACATTTATTAAATTTAACAACATAACCGTGTAAGGAGAAAAGAAAACAATGAAAAACTTTAAAAATAACAGTGCCAATTAATCCTAGTAAATGTTTCAAAATTACTTTTTTATAATAATCACGTAAACAAATTTTTGTCCACTTGTAACATGTCTGATCTAAATAAATTATCAAGGATACATTTACATATACCATTAGTCAATTTTCAGAATGGTTTTCAAATTTATTTAAATATAAACAACTAAATGTACAAGTGTCGAAAAAGTTGACTGAACCAATAATATAATAAAATATAATCTAAAATATAACAACAAAAACCAATTCAATATCGGAGGACCTTAGCTGGTTACTACTATACTATACACTAGTGATTTCGCTATTTATCAATCTTTATCATTTGTACATGGGTATAATAGCACTTACAATATATCTCTACACCCCAAACTTAGTCAAATGGTAATTTAGAATATAATCGGGTTTAGCCCGCCATGCAAACTTCATCACTCATCACATTCATCATGCATACGTATCTAAAGCATACTGTACATCTTTACAATATCATGGAAAAATAGCTGATGGAAACAATCCAATCTCAACATCGAGAGCTAGTTATCGTTCACCTAAATGCGAGAGGAAGTTTCAGCCTTTCTTTCCAGTTACTACAAAACTATAATTATCTACATGCATACATTCGCATTTAGCATATTTCAAAAGAGAATACTTTGTATTCGTATTTTAAATGCGCACTTGACACTATACATGGTCAATGAAGGGAACGCCGTCATGTAACACCTTTAGATACGCATGGCCGGTTTCCAACTTGAGACAGTCATATATCAGGTCTTAAATCACAATACTGTTGCACTTGGAAAATATCCTGTATGCAAATGAAGTGCATTAACGCCACGCTAATAGATGGTAAACGCTATTGATGACGCCTGTAAATTGTAATTTTCATACAAAAGCATCATGACAAAATGGCGGCGTTTTAATGCACGGAAATAGCATGTGTGGAATTACGATAATATTGCGTGTTAAGCAACTGTTTCTATTTCTTCTGGTATAGGAGGCGACTGCTCCGCTGGCGCTAACGTTTTAGACGGCGATTTTGTGTATGGAAGCGTTTTTAACTTTCTGGCTTCGCGTCGCTGTTTCTTTTGCTGCATAACGAGTCTTAATTGTTCCAATTTACATTTAGTCTTTGAATTCTCCATGGCTAGAGTTTTGGCAGTATCACATTTCTTGCACATATCACCGGAGCTTGATTTGCTCGAACATGACGAACAAACACCGGGTTTGAGTCTATTACACTGACAGTCTTTTACATTTTTGCAAGAACAAATTTTGGTTTCAGCAGTAGATGTGGAAGGGAGGTGGCCATCACACTGGCCGTATGAGCAGGAGGGCTGACTACATCCTAAACATTTGTTGGACTCGTCTAGTAAGCTTGATGTACAGGAGTGTTTGTTGTCTTTCTGTAACATGTAAAATTACAAATTAAACCATATAAAATTATAATGCAAGCCTATATTATTTGCCCTGAAAAAGATTTCCATATAAAGATGAAACAATTGTCCGAAACAACAAACATAGTAAGTTCATAAAATTCCCATTATTTATATATAGGTTGCGAGCTTCTATACCTACATCTTCAATATGTCTTATATACAGATAATATATATCTATAATATATATACTAATGTATCTACATTAGTTACTATATGTAGTTGAGGGGGAAAGGATTGTTAGTAACACAGACTATCGGAACCATTGCTAGTAATTTTCCTGTCAAGTTCCTTGCAGTCCCCCTGGAAACGATCATGCTTAATTCCAAGTGTATTAATCACGATGAGCTCCTGCCTTTTCATTTATACCTATCTTCCCTCACTAGTGCCTTACCAGCATATACCGTCAGCGCAGGAGGGATTATCATAAGTTTACTATTGTAATGTTTTGGAAGAAACAATAAAGAGTATCTATCTATCTATCTATCATTCCATTATCCATTAAAAAAACTATATGAAATATTACATATTAAAAATGAAGTCATATGAAAATAATATATTACCTGTGATAAGGCAATGGGGGTGCTGCACAGAGCAAATCATTCAGTATATGAATGATAGTCGAAATATCCCTTTTAGGCCGGCCGTATCTGGAAATAAACATAAATATTTTATTTATACAGAAAATCACATTATTTTCTTTCATGAGCATTTATATTATAGATAATAAAATACAATTTAAGTTGTATTTCCAGAAACTTGTTCATTAGTCAGTAATTATTTTTTACTTAACTAGGTGTAATCTTGCAGAAGTCTATATCACTGGGTCTTTTATTAGAATTATTTTATTTAATTCCGCTACCGTTGGTATGTATGTAACTTCTAACACTCGACGATTGACTACCACTATTACTAGTAGAAGTTCCATAACCTTCCATATTAGTCATTAATCTCAGACTGTCATTTTGTACAAGCACGTGTTGCAACACGTGTTTTACCTCTAAATGAAGTACCTTCTGGCAAATTATTAAATCGGTTGCAATCTTCGAATATAGGTAGTTACACACATATTAATGGTACCAGAATGATTTAATTCTGATCAAATAACTAGTCAGCAATTGATTTGTCGATTCCATTTTCTGCTATTAAAGTAATGTAAAGCAAAATTTTACTATAATAATAATGTAATAAAACAAATAAATTATACACTAATACAGCGATTCCTAAAGTGGGTGCAGCAGAACTTAGAAGTCACCAGAGTTTTACAAAATTATTTTACTGTTAAAAACACCACATTCTGAACTGAACATATAGTTTTTGAATACATGGTATTTTTTCACAGTAATGAAATTAGACTATAAGAAACATGCATAAAAAATAATAATCACCTGTCTTGTAAAGCAGGATTTAAAGTTCCTGAAAATGTACCCGAATATATTCCCTTTCCATGGTGCTTCATTGACTCTATCACAGCTCCAGGTCCTATTTTCGAGCGCACTGATTCCTCAGCGGTTCGGAGATCAATTTTATTTGTCAACACTTCTTTCGATAACTTCTTTAATTTTTGAGTTAAATTCTTTGATGCTTCTATAAGTGCCTTAGTGTCAACAGTTGGTGTGGGGGACACTCTCTGAGGCTTTTTTGGGGCATCAGGAGCTTTAAATGGGACCTGTTTTGATGTGGAAGGAGTGGCATTGTCTTCAGCGGGACCACTGCTTGGTTGCAAAATAAGTTTCCGAGAATTTGTTATATACGGCTCAGTTCTTGATGTGGAAGGCTGAACTAAATTACTATCTTGTCTAATTTGCATCCTTTTTTTATGTTTATTCACTACAGACTGCATGAATGCTTTTTGTTTATTTTGACCTATGGGATGTTTGAATTTAGATGTTTTATGAAGTAAGTACTGGAAGCGTTTATTTTTTAATGGTTCATTTATACTCTGGAAAGAAGGCAGTGTGCCAGTCGGTTCCTGCATCCCGTGACTTGTGGTCGCTAGGTTTGATATCTCCCTGTCCATCATAGACTCATCCTGATCTTCAAATAAACCTTTATCCACAGCACTATTAAATAAATTCTCCATTGGATATTCATCTATTGTGCTTTCAGCTAGGAATGAACTTTGGTCAGTGAAGTTGTCACTGTCATCACTAAATGAACTATCAGGTGTATGAGACGATGTAGACGGACTGGGTTTGTCACTAATGGCACTTGTTGAAGGTATCACATTGTTGCTTTGTTTATTCTGGGATAACATGTCGATCAAATTGTTTTTTACACTGTTTACCAGACTGCTTTCTCTGCTTTCAGAGGTAGACACGTCTATAGGACTAGAAACCAAATTCGATAAAGACTTTATAGGTGACTGTTCATTTTCAACAGATGTGTCAGATAGATCTGAGAGTGTGCAATTTGTTGTGTCAACTGATTCATCTTTTTCTTCACAGCTTTCTGATTTGTCAGTATATTTCTCTTCAGCCATAGACCTATATAAATCAAAAGCATTCTGTAGCATTTCTAAGTCTTGTTTTTGAAGAATATGATTTTGATGTTCCTGTTTTTGTTTATCTGTGTTTTCATTAGGGTCATCATTGTCTATTACTTTTTGAGGGGTACTCTGAGGGCCAGGCGATTCTCTATTGTCACTTTTTGTACGTACTGATGATGTGGAACTCTTTGCGGGAGTAGACGTGCGCAGAGATCGGGACCCACTTGAAGAACTTGAGTTAAGAGTAGATAGTTGCAGTTGTATTAACATCATATGGTCACCTAACCTCATGGTCAAATTTAATGGTGATTTACCACTCAGGAAATCATTAACTTGTGTGTCATTAAGAGACTCTAAAGCTTGCATCACAGAATTTTCGGGCCTTTGGCTCTGAAAACAATGGGAACAAGAATGTTAATAATGATACATAATTAGTTACAATAATAAGTAATAAAAAACTATATAAGATGGATAATGGCTATTGATTAGTTTCGCATTGTTGTGAAACACGTGATTATCGTCAATAAAGAATCGAGATTTCGAAATAATGCCATGCTTACCAGGAGTCCCGTTTCGACGCTCGGCAGCAGAATGACGCGCGAGCCGTCCAATAGGCCGTTTTCCTCCAGAGTGCCATCCCTCAATTGTCTGCGAAGACAAAACTGAACATCAATATCATGGAGTCAAAGGACGCGGATGCGTCATCGTTCGTATCGACGCAACTTTATTTCCGTAATGTTTGACAATAGAAGCTTGGCGTCTAGTCCTCTACTTACCTTTCGCGATGCAAGAGACATATCCGATCTTTGGACACTTTAAGTTTCTTCGAAACTAATTTCTTAAGATGCTCCACTGTGTTTTTACCGTTCAGACTGACTGAAAAGTTACCACCCGTGGTCGTTTGTATATTCAACGTTATGTCCGTAGTTTGGGTCGAGCCACACCCGTACACTTCTGTTCCCGTTGCACGTTCCATATTTTCCACATAAATTACACTAAAATTTATAATATATCACTAGTATAATGGCGAAAAGCTTATCTTAGATTACACAGCTATTTTATTGCTGAATAGAAATAACAGGGTCACACGCCAGACCCCAGATTTTGATGTGGCCGTCGATCGGTGTGACCAGTGTCGTTCGCGATATCCCGTTATTTTTTTTTTACAACAGCTGATGCGACACGCTGCTCTGTTACTACGCTCTTAATGTTTAAAACTTATAAAAATAAAACATATTTACTAAAAGGAGTGACATTTAAATATAAGTATTTTCATTTTTATATATTTTTGAAGATTATATTTTATAAAATATCTTGTTATGATTAGTTTTAACACAGAAAAAAGAAAAAAATGTGACGAAATATGTAAACATAAAATCGATTTAATGTGAAACGGAATAGAAATATTGAAATGTCAAACACAAATGTCACGCATTGTTCGAAAAGGCTTTTGCGGGAAATTTAAATTTTCGTCGATCTGTGAAAATAATTATACTTGCTAAATGTTGATTAGATAAAAAAGTTAATTGTGTGACGTGTCCTGTCTCGTCACGCGTAATATGACACAGAGATAATACCTAGAAGAATTGTAATTCATTTGAGACAAAACACGTGCCAATACTACGTACTGTAATACTTTTTTGGGGTTCCGTAAAAAAAGTACAAAAGAACCGTTATGGTCCGACTTTACCTCTCCGTTCGTCTGTCACAACGTCATATCTCAACAACTACTAATGTTATCAATTTGAAATTTGGAATAGATTTACATATTATTAAACCGCATATATTGCAGTGAAAATAATTGAAAAAATATTTTTATTTTTAGGCTAGAGGGTAGAAAAGGAGATTAAAGAATTTTAAATTGATGTATTAGATCAAGTGGGGTATCATATGAAAGGGCTTCATTTGTACATTTTAAAACTGATTTTTATTTACTTTTAATGCTGTGTTAATTTTTAGTTATAATCGTAAATGTGAGAAAAATATCACTCAGAAACTTTGGAGAGAGGAGGGATCCTCTCTCCAAAGTTTCTGAAGTGAAAAAATTGCAATATATAAAGTTCATAAAGATATACGTGAATATTACAGAAAAAAATAAAACGATGTTACTAACTAGCATTGTTTTCGAGAAATTATCATAAAAAAAAACTCCCAAAAATAAAATTATTTATGCGATCCAGATTTAATTACAATAATGGCTTAAAAAAATTACGAGTTATAACATTAGTAATAATAAACTTAGGTGTCTATTTCGTATGACAAATTTAATGAAGGTAATTTAATCTAATATTTATGTATGGGACCTTCGGCGGATTTCAGCTCGCACCTGACTACTTTTTTATGTTTAGCAGTAATTCGCGAAATGTTTGTGCAGCCTTTACCATTATAGGAAATCACGCTCTGGTTTTGCATAAGAGGCTATAATAACCGCTTACTATCAGATGGGCTGTATATTTTTTTACCAAATCAGTACTTTATACTTTAGTATTCAATAAAGCATAAAGGTGTGCTCAGACGAAGGACATTTTTGGCGTACATTTTCTACAACGCTACAACGCACACAAATCAGTACGTTTGACCTACAACGTGGCTGACGAAAGTGCGCCGTCATCAGTATAAATTTCATATTAATTTAGCGACTGCTTATAATAATTTGAATCGACACAAAAGAATTGTAATTCGTGAGCGTAAATTTTTCGTTAATCACTGTATTTTATTTCAACATTTTATAATGTATAGCCGAGAAATTTTAAATTTGACCGTATTTATATGGACCTAAATATTATAATTCTTTGATTTGTACAGATTTTGACGATAAAAAAATTGCTATTATTTGTACATTACTGAATTCCTTGCTTCTCGTATAGACTGTCATGTTACCTATAATAAAATTGTAATTAAACGATGACTTATTTTTTTTAATAAATGGCAATGGAAGTATAGCTCCGAATTTTTTTTTTTATAACACAGGGGGCATACGAGCGTACGGCTCACGTGATGGTAAGTGACTACCGTCGACCATGATCAGCCGCAACACAAGAAGCATTGCAAGTGTGCTGCCGGTGTTTTAAAAAGGAATATGAAAAATATATAAGTTGTTAAGTGCCCATTGCTGATCATAGGTTTTGTGGTTTTGCCAGTAGTTGCCACACTTGGCAGGCGGGTTGTTGGCTGCAGTTAGGCTTTGGTGATGTCTGTATATGGGAGATATTTAAGAAAAAATCTAAAAAAAGAAAAAGAGGAGAAAAATATTAATGAAGAAAAAGAGGGATCTCGATAAGACCAAAAGATGCCAAAACAATTATTTTAGAAATTTTGTCTGCCTGTCTGTTTGTTGATTTCAGTATCACGCAAAAACAATTTCCTGTGTAGATTAAGAATATGAGTAATGAATATAAATTTAGCAGTGAGAAATGAAAAGCTAGTGAAAAGCTACTGCACCAAATTGGATGCGGTTTTCACAGTTTCTAAAGGCTTATCTTAAATTCTGGTATATGTTTTATCTTACGTCATATAAAAGTGATATATTTCATTGGATTTCGTACTTCTAAAATCCATGCGTACAAAATAACGGGTGAAAAACTAGTAAGATATAATCCCCAACAATTTGTAACCTCTTGCAAATCATTTACAGAATGGTCGCCGTATACTGCCATATTTAGAACTAACAAAAATTATCATCGTGCCTCCTCTCCATCCAAAAGTTGTCTGGAAGAGATCGCTCTTAGCGATAAAATCGCCCATTGTTTTCTCATTGTGATTATTTCTTGTAATTATTTATATTTATAATAAGTTTACTATTGTAATCTCTTGAAGGAAACAATAAAGAGTATCTATCTACCTACTGCGCTACTTAGATTAGTCACCATCATAAGACTTTTCCCTTATAGGTTGCATAAATTAGTATATAATGTTAATTTACTATATGGTCTCCGTGGGATCCCAGCATCGAATGAGACTTCCTTTCTCGTGGGTGTCGTAAGAGTTGATTAAGGGAATTTAATGGTCGGGCGATGGACAGTAGTGTCTTAAAACATCATAAAAGCCTAACTGTGGTTACCAGCTAATCTGCCAAATGTAGCAACTACTCGCAAAATCCTTGCGAGGGTTCCCTCTTCGGCACTCACGTTCAAGAGCGGACAGTTATTTATTTATTTATTGCATTCCATAATAATTAATTAATACATAATACATAATTATTACATAAGGTTTCAATTATGGAGCCTGTTGGGCACAGCAAGTAGGAGAGAGGAGGACAACACTTTTTTCACTTTCGAAATAGTATATCACGATAAGTACGTATTTTCTTATTATAATTATTCATTATTTAAGTATTGGTGTGTATCTATTCATATCGTAATTATTATTAGTATTATATAGTTATTTAAACTTTAATATATTCTGTAGTTTAAAATTATTTATATTCATATTGTAAAATTAATCAATAAATAATTTAATAATAAAATTGCTAACGGCTGATATGATGATGATGATGATGATAATGATGATATAGGGGAAATAAATGAAACATAGTAGTATCCTCAACCTTTTTATTAACCCAGCACCCACAATTGAGTTTAACAAAACCAACAACTATCACAGCTATTGTCACATCAAATATTCATTATAACAGAAAAATAAAAAAAAAAAAAAACAAACAAACAATAGGAGTGCGGTAAAAAAATTACATTACATTCTTTATTAGGGTTCTATAGTTAAATTTTTATCTTCACTAACAGGAAAGAGCGGCGCCAATTCTTATTCATCATGCTGTAAACTTCATACATATTACAATAATTAAAATATTATCATTATTAACGAATATAAAAATAAAAAAAAAATTGCAAAAAAAATAATAATATAATAAATTAAGACAAATATTTTGTTGAAAACTTTTATATTAAAAGTTGTTATTAAAAACATTGTTTCTGTGATATTGTTATTGGCGAGGGAAATAAAATTTGGAGATGGGTGTCTAATGAACTGGTAGCTTTACTGGTAAGATTATTGGCCCTGGCATGAGGTAAATGACGCGGTTCCAAGCTCTGCTCGCTTTGAATTTTTTTCTATTACAAAATAATTATTAAAATATAATTGTCACATTTTACTTACAGAAAATAAGTAGAAAAATATCTTGTGTAAAAAAATAAAAGGCGAGTCGTCTTTGTACAAAACAATATTTAAATTGAATGACAAATTATAATAATTTAAAGAAATATAAAAATAATCACTACAACTCTTAAGTTTTTCAAGATATAAATTTTTAAAGCAGTTTGGTAAATACGCAGTTGCCGTAATTAATTAGGCATTAAAAAATTGTATAATTAACTATGATACACAATAAATCACAGTTTTCTAGAGTTAAAAATTCGAATATAGAATATTTCACAGTATTTTATTTTTTCACATTAGCAGTTTTTTTAGTAACGTTTCTCTCATAACAGGTACATTTTGCGTTACTTAAAATTGGCATGAGTAATTTATTAATGTTTGTAAAAATTAAAAAACAAATAACAGTGTTTTATTATAGTACTACTGCGTTTAACTGATAAAATAAGTTAATGTGATGTTTTTATTATAATATACACAAAATCCATAATGGCAGAGAGACTTTCCGACAATAAATATTTATGACACGAATATAAACGTGCATATAATGACATAAATGTAATGTGACAATTCGTTTTATTATTATCAAAGATTTCGGAATTGTCTTAGATTATTATGTACATTTAGAGGTAGCATGAAAACCACACTAACACATGATCTGTTTTTGTTTTTGTACGTCATATCGTTTTGTAATCAGAGAGTGTTTGTATTATCCTAAGTCTATTTAACAGGGTTATCATGAAACTAAATAGACACTTGTGACATTTGAGGATTTCTTTAATTTATAATAAACAATGACAAAATTGACCCTAGACCATTCAGAGAAAAGATGCAACTCGTGATTTCACAAATATTGGTTTTTCAACTACATCCTTACATTTAACAATAACAGTATTATTTTATTTCACTGACATCACTGTTCAAATCATTTACATAAATATATATTATATTTAAAAATTATATAAACACATTATATGCGTGTTAAAAAATATTATATTATTAAACAATCAAAATAAATTATGCTATAGTTACAATATCTTACTAATTTATGTTTTACGCACTTGAAGTACGCATTTTTAAATGCCACCGAGATAGAATAGAGTAGATAAAACAGTTATAATATTATTTGTTATATACTTTGTGAACGAGGATTGTTACTTTTTAGTCATCTGAGTCTTAGTAAGTATAAGTGTGAGTTCATCGTTGATATTACTGGTTATGAAAATAACTGAAGAAAATGCCATGACATTTGGTATACAGGTAGTATATGGCATGGAAAAAGACACAGGCTACTTTTTAAGCCGCCCAATGTATTTACACTGGTTACGCGAGTAAACTAAGTTTCAAATATAATTTTAACTTTACAATATACATGATTTACATTTTTGCATCGAATTACAAATAGAACAAGTAAGATTTGTAGATAGAATTTAGTTTTATTTTATTAAAGAAACTAATAATATAACACGAAGTGTAGTTTAAAAATTATAAATTCAAATATCGAATAAGTTGTAATTACAGATGGTGACGGTACATTTAAAGTATACGGAAAACACAGTATACACGTGTTTCAAAATATTCTTGTCAATTTTTTTTTTACAATTGTGTCATATATTTATCGCTGACGAGTGACGATAATGTAGTCATTTGGCGATGTTCAAAACATTATTATACATTCGACTTTATAAGCGAGAAATATACATATTCATAAAACCCGTAATAAATCTATTTTAAATATAAATGTTTTGTTAACTTGTGTATTTCACATAGATAAGTAGGTATAGTATTGTAAGCAACAAAAAAATTACTATAAATAATTAAAACACAAATAAATACAAGAAATAAAATTAAGAATTAAAATTATAAAATAAGCGAGTGTTTAATTTAAAAAAAGCTACTACGAGATGTGTAGGTCGATTAGTTATTGTTACTAGAAATAAGAAATAGTAATGAAAACGTATTTAAAAGAGAAAAATAAAAATAAGGAAAAAAAGCATTTGACGTTCCTTTACCTTTATAAGCTGTACTGTTACCCTATGTGGATATCACATGTCACATTGGCATACCGGCTATAGAAAGCCTAACATTTTCTTAATGTGAACCTAAGTACCTAGTATTTATAAAGACTTATGAGGAATCTATAATGCGAGATAAATCTCAACACGAAAGAATTTATTACCTATTTTGCCTATTTCTGTAACTACGTTTCACGAAGGGTTGGAAAACGAAATTGAACTCAATGTTCAATGAACGAAGGAATCAATTTTACACATCAACAAGGGACTTCGTGAAGCATAGTAGACACAGGTGTGTTTAGAAGAAGTAACAGAAATCTAGCAACTCTATTAATGAAATTTTATTAAATGGCCTGACCATAAATATACTCTCGTTTAACACTTTTTAAATATTTTCAAAGACAATTTTGTATATCAAACTATATTATTACTCTGTTGATATCGATTAAAATATACTCTATAATGGCATTACACTTAATAAAACAGTATGTCATGAGTCATTATCGACTTAATTTTTGTCATTGCCGTTAATTTAGGACGCGTTCACACATACGCCGTTGACGATTATTAAAAACAACAAAGTAGTTCACATATAAAAATCGAATCGTGATTTGATACGATTCGATAAATCGATCATTGACAATTCATACTAAAAATTTACCTACCACTAAATAACGATTATATAATATTGACCTTGTGTTAATGATTGTATAACATTGACTTTAGTCTGTCAATGTTATAAAACAAATAGATGTTAATATATAAAGAAATCGAATCGTGATTTAATAATTTCGTAAAATCGTCCAGTGACGATTCATTCGAAAAAATGCTCACTAAATAACGATTATATAAAATTGACCTCGAGTAAACGACTTCAATAACATTGACCTTAGTAGAACAATATTTTATGATATAATAATAGGATGTTTAAATTTAGAAATAAAACATGAATTTCGACCTGGACTCGTCCAAGTCGTTACTTTTTCGTATTTTTTTAACGTACCGTATTTGTTTTCATAATTCGTAGTGTCACGTGATCAAGTCGTGTCAAGGTCATAGAAGTTCAGGGATCGTTGGAACAAAACGTTCCGTTAGTCACGATTCATATTAATTCACGATTCGTAGATGTGTGAATGAAGCTTTACTAGTACGTATCTAACATCGGCTACGAACAAATCACGACCCGAACTGTTGTGTATCGCTGTCGATCGCCTCGAAGACGTAACCGCCGCGGCCGTCCATCTGCAGGTAGTGGTCGTGGTGCTTCCATAGTGACTTGCGGTGGGACACCGTGAATAGGGAAATACCCATCTGTTGGCCAACAAGATATTTAATTTTGAATTTTCGCATTGTTTACACTTAAGAACAACGAATTACATAGAAGGAATGATAAAATAAAAACTGTAAATCATATGATTGCCTCCTTTCTTCTTTTGAAAATATAATTAGTAAAAAGTAGACGAAAGATATACTATCAATTGCTATTTTTGTCAATTCATTGCAGGCTTGTGTATAGAAAATGTTGTACGGCCGGTAAGTCCCAATTGCGTATTTAAAATAAAAGATTATATTGAATTTACCCCTTTGTTCATAAAAATTGCAAACCTATAAACCTATTTTAGCTATTGAACTGTTTTGTCTCTTTCTTTTACACTAATTTCCATCATGTAATGTAAGTTTTTATGTTGTGTAGAATTATAGATACTTGTATCTCTATTTTAAATGTTTGAAGGAGTGTATATTGCCAAACGATTTATGGGTGATTGTAAATTCTAGGCTTACGTACACTGGAATTTATTATATTTGTAATCACTTATGATATATATATATATATATATATTACATATGGTGATCTTGTGTTATCCATATTTATCTGTTGCCATAGAAATCTCATTTTGAAATATCCCACAATAAATGGTATCTAAATGACTAGAATAATGAAGTGATTGTGTGGAAATTATTATTGTTAACGCACCTCTCTGCAGTATTGGTACATTTGTCCTTCGACGTCTACTGACACAGCGCTGGTGCATTCGTCCAAGATAGCGAACTGTGGTTCATGGTAGAACAGCCGCGCCATCTATAATTGATTTATTACAATGATTTATGTTTTACAACTAACAATTAGGGGTTTTTGTTTGTGATATTTTTTATGTATTTTTTTAATATAAAAATCGTTACTCGTTAATTTATATTTTTATATATTAAGAATTTCTTCTTGTATTTTCTTTATTTTTTTTTTTGGGTTTCCGTAAAAAAAGTATTAATTTTCAACAGACTTCAAGAAGAAGGAGGTCCAATTTTATTTTTTTATATTTGTTTCGTTATAGCTACGTCTGTTCTAAAGCGATTTGGAAAAATATTTTTTATTAGAAAGAACATGAAAGAACAGATTGGTCACAAACAAATTTTTTCACAATAGATTCAGTGGTTAATTTTTAAATAAAAATAACTGGTTATGTCACATTTGAAGACGGTTTTTTGTGGGAAACACACTACTTATTACTTCCAAACTTTTATTGGTCAATACAAATGTTTTCATAATTTGTCAGTACCTTCAAAAGTATTGCTCGTTCCAGGGATTCTATTATCCTATTTCCTATAATTTTTATAGACATATTTATACTACATACGAGTACATAAATTATGTTACTGTAGATTGAGATTTAATATTAATTGAGATTTGATTTAATATTATAAAATTTGTAACTGCTAACGTAAAAATGGACTTACAGCTATCCTCTGTTTCTCTCCACCAGAGAGGACGTCCATCCAGTCCTCGACCGCGTCCCAGCCTCCCTCGCGCGTAGTCAGGTACGACAACTGAACGATCTCCAGGAAACGGTTCAATTGCTCATCGGTGCGACCGCGGCGCACCATCTCTTCACGGGTTTGTGGGTAGATCACCTGGACATGGAAAGCAAATTAATTAGTATGGAACGGGGGGGGGGGGGGCAGGAGTGAGATTGTTAATAATGAAGACTGATGATGATTCGTCACGATATACGAGGTACACACATAAACTAAAAGGTATACAGCATAAACGAATAGCGAAATGAGATTATTATTTTACTTCCTTTAAGAACGTCCAACATTTATATAACTAGGTAAGAATTACTAGACGAGATAGAGTGTAAAGTATCATAGACTATTGTTAAATATTTTACTTAAATTTTTTTCTTGTTTTAGGATATTCTTAACTCTTTAGACATATACGATCTATCTGAACTCAGAAATTAGAATATTCTTTTTACCAAAGTCTTTCGCTTTTGAATGGAAAGCCTTTCTAGACTTTTCTATATATTCTTAAATATTTTAGTTCAATTTTTATAAGTCATTCATACAAGCATATCGTTTCTGGATAATCTTAACTCTTCTTTTAAAATATCTGAACTAAAGGACAAGAATATTCTCTTATCACAATCTACTGCTTTTAAATGGAAAGTTTCTCCTAGTACCTGCATCTTTCTACTTTACATCCCAGAGGGAAACTTTGTACAAAAGTCGTTTGCTTGGGCATCTCTGTCTTATTCATGTTTCTACCGTGAAGCAGTTGTGTTGTGTTGGATGGCTGTGTTTCGGTTTGAAGAGTGGGGATATGGCAGTGAATTTACAGGGTACATAGAAATAACATCCGAGTCCTTAAGCAACGTATGGGGGGTATCATGGGCGAAACAGTATACTCTGTTATGTCCATGGTACTGCTCATGTCTATAGGCGACGGTTACCACTTTCATCTGGTGGGCCGTCAGCTTGTTTGTTATTATATGTTGCATACAAAATCTTTTTAATTTGACTCTATATAATTAAGGTTACAAAGATATCTGGCAATATCAATATTTCACTTTTACATAAAAATTTGTGAATGTAGATTATAGAGGACCTGATCACGCAGAGTGCCGAGGGTCATGTAAGGTCGTTGCGGTACATAGAACAGTTTCCCCTTGGGCGGCTTGGTGAGGGTACCGCCGAATATAGGCCACAGCTCGCCCAGATGCCGGAACAGAGATGATTTCCCGCAGCCATTTGGCCCGCAAACCAGCACGTTGATGCCCGACCTGACGACAAATTAATTAGATATTGTACTCCCTGCAGAGGGAAAGGGATTGTTAGTAATGGAGACTGAGAATCCCATTGCTAGCAATATACCCAACCAGGTCGACCTCCTCGCGGTTCCCCCTGGAAACTATCATGGTTAATTCCTGATGAATTTATCATGGTGGGCTAACTGGCCTGTTTTCATTCTCATCTATCACCCTTTACTGGTGCTCCGACAGCGTATCCCATTAACGCAGGCGGAGTTACCGTTACCATACCATTTTCACTCATAAAAAAAACTGTCCACTGCTGACAATAAAACTCTCCCTTGGGAGGTTTTCCAGTAGTTACCACGCTTGGCAGGCGGATTGGCAACAGCTGTGAGGCTTTAGAAATGTTGCAAGAGGGACGCTGTTGCCCATCCTTCGACCATAAGTTCCCTAAGTCGCCTCTTACGACATCCACGGGATAGAAAGGGACGAGAGAGAGACTTTGTACAAAAGTAGATTGCTTGGGTACCTCTGTCCCATTCGTGTTTCAACCGTGAAGCAGTTGTGTTTGCATGGCTGTGTTTCGGTTTGAAGGGTGGGATATGGCGTGAATTTACTGGGTACAGAGGAATAACACCTAAGTCCTCAGGAATAGCAACGCATGGAGGGTATCATAGGCGAAACAGTATACTCTGTTATGTGTATGGTACTGCTCATGTCTATAGGCGACGGTTACCACTTTCCATCAGGTGGGCCGTCAGCTTGTTTGCCATTCTAAGTTGTATAAAAAAAATTCTAAAACTCTCCTTCCCCTTCTTCAAGGCCTATGTTCAGGAGTGGACAGTTAATAGTCGATATAACAAATAATATAGACAATAACATTGTTGTTTCAGTTACAATGTCTAAGGTAAAATGATTCATTTCACTTTACATACTACTCAGTAGGTACATGGATGAATGGATCGTGTAAAACATTGTGTGAAAAAGAGCGATGAATACATAAACTATGACTAATAATAAGTGGAAATGGAAGAACACATTACATTGACCCCGACTAATGGAGTAGATGGTTCGTTAGTTTACAAAAATATACACTAGCAGATCCGGCTAGGCCTCACGCGGGTAGAAATATAACATATAGGGGGGGGGGAAGTTATTGCTAGTAATGGAGACTGAGAATCTCATTGCTAGCAATATACCCAAACAGGGGTGGGGGGGGGGGGATGGGATTGTTAGTGATGGAGACTGAGAATCCCATTGCTAGCAATATACCCAAACAGGTCGACTTCCTCGTGGTTCTCCCTGGAAAGTATCATGGATAATTCCTGATGAATTCGTCATGATGGGCTAACTGGCCTATTTTCATTCTCATCTATCACCCTTCACTGGTGCTCCGTCGGCATATCCCGTTAGTGTACTAACGGGGGGGTTACCATATCATTTTCACCCATAAAAAAAACATATAGGGGAGAGGAAGGAATTGCTAACAAACAATGAAATAATGAGATGAAACAGCCCCATTGCTAGCAATACACCCTATAAGGTCGACCTCCACGCGGTTTCCCCTGGAACCCATAGTGGTTAATTTTTGTTCAATTGGTCACTATGGGCTAACAGACCTGCCTTCATCCTCACCTGTCATCTTTCACTGGTGTCACCCCAGCGTATACCAATGGCGTAGGCGGGGTTACCATTCCATCTTCACTCATTAAAAAAAAATATAACATGGAGCCTAGGTTACTCGTTCATATTGATGATTTCGCTCTAAGAAATTATTTCTTTTGAGTAAAATATGTGTGTATTAACAAGGGTTCTCACTGAACACTGCAAAATAAACAAGCATATGGACCAAATAGGCTTATGCCTAAAATGTGTTTGCAGATTTTGTCACAATGAGGAACAAATGCCACAGCACTTAATTACAAAAAAAAAAATCTTTAAATTCCTATCGTTGACAAGAATTAGCAGTAAACTTGAAAAAAGAGCGAGCACAAAAGATCATGGAAAGGTCGCAGTATCATAGGTTTTTCTGCTTGGAAGAAGCTGTCTTTCAATAATAAAAATACGAGCTGATAATGTAGTTTTCTTCTTAGCATGAAAGACTTTTTAAAATTGGGTAAGTAGATACAATATTTATATATTTGCTATATAGATATTGATACCTAACTATATAGATATTGACGTTACTGATATTGCCTATGTCTAGTTTTAACATTTTTATCGTATTTTTTTACCCATGTCTTTTTTGAGGAAAATGTATAGTTTCAGCGATAGATTCTATTCTATTTATAGGGGTATCATGGTTGAAACAGTATACTCTATTATGTCCATAGTAATGCAAATGTCTATAGGCGACGGTTACCACTTTCCATCAGATGGGTAGTCAACTTGTTTGCTATTCTAAGTTGCATAAAAAAAAATTAGTAGGCCAAAAATAAACTTTTTCATATATAAATAATATAGATTTATATTAATATGGATTATAGATTTTCTTTTCAATTAAGGGCAATAAAAAATATCATTATTGTTATGATTGTAGGAGTATGGTGGGTCTGATAGAGCTGCAATATTATCTTAAGTAGGTAGTATTAAAATCATGTTTAAAACCCCCGTCAATATTTGACATTTATCTTATCATTGATCGTTTAAGGCAATCATCATATCGATTAATTAGTATACATGCGCTGATACTGTGCAACGTTACTAGATCATTCGATGTGTGATTTTCAATTAGAATTGAAAATAGGATATTACAATGATGTACAGGTCATCATCATTATCATATCAGCCTTTAACTGTCAACCGCTGAAAATAAGTCTCCCCTTGGGGGGTTTTGCCAGTAACTGGCACGCTTGACAGGCGGATTGGAAACGGATGTTTTAAGAGGGACGCTGCTGTACATCCCTCGCCCTACCTTAGGTGGCTGTTACGTCACGCACAGTAAAGGAAGAGTTGGCCTTTTCTATGCCGGGACCACACATACATACTGTATATGTACTGTTTTGGCCGGTACAGGTATTCACTATAAACTATTTTAATAAATCTCAAAAGTAAGTATTGTTGAAATTATTATAGAAACATTTTTTAAATGAAATCAGTGACAAATCGAGACATTCAATCAATTGAACGATTTTGATTTTTTTTAACTGTAGTTACTTTTGGCCGCAGATGGCTTTTACAGTTTCATCGGCCGCGTGCATGGGCAAATGCAGAAGGTACTCCAAGCCCCGAGAGAAAGAATGTGTGTGAGAGAGAGAGAGAGAGAGAGAGAGAGAGAGAGAGAGAGATAGACAGAGAGAGAGAGAAAGATAGATAGAGAGAGAAAGGGAGAGAGCGTGACGAAATGTCGACTTTCACCGATGGATTGCAACGATTTTTGATGCAGATTACTATCGTAAATTAACAGAGTGTGTTATGGACGGGTATAAATTCATCTGTTTCAAATAAAATTAAATATACATGAACCCTATCCAGGGTTCAAAAAGGCGTGTAACGTATCCATGTTACACGCATTTTTGGTAGATAAAAAAAGTAATGACGGTACTGACTTGACCTCGAAGCTGAGCTCCTTGATGAGGACGTCGCCGTTGGGCGTGACCAGCGGCACCTTGTCGAACTTGATGATCTTGTCCTGGTAGATGATGCGGCCCGCGCCCGGGGCCAGTAACGCCGGTGGACCTGTTAAGCATCCACAAATAATAAGATCTCAACATTAGCTTGCGGCTAACTGAGACAGGCACGCCGGGTGCATAAACAATTTTTTTTTTTTATAATATAGGAACAAACAAGCATACGGCTCACCTCATGGTTAAGTGATTACCACAATCCATGGGTATTTGCAAATATCAGAACAATTGCAAATATGTATATATTTCTATATGTATATGTTTATAAGGTTTATTAATTAAACTTAAATATGAAATTTAATTAAAAAGCCCGACATCAGCAGCGGTGTCTTTAACCTACGAGTACAAATTTCACACAATCCCACCAATTTGATACCTTGTGAATAACAAGAGATCCTAGCGTGAGAATCAGATGTATCCTTTCAAAATTTATGAGAAACCTGACAATGAACATCTAGGAACACCAAGGGTGTGGGTTAAGAATATATTGCTTTAAGATTTGCTACATATAAGGTTATTCCGACGTTTCTAAATTATACTGGCTGCGGTTATCAGCTGATCGAAACGTCGAGATAATGATAAATAATTATATTTCATTCAAATAATCAAGTTAGGGGGGAAAGGGATTGTTAGCAATGGAGTTTGGCAGCCCCATTGCTAACAATAAACCCTATCAGGTCAACCTCTACGTGGTTCCTCCTGGTAACCATCGTGAACAATTCTTGTTGAATTCGTCACGATGGACTAACTGATCTGCTTCATCCTCACCTATCATCCTTCACTGGTGCGCCGCCGGTGTATACCGATAGCGCGGGTGGGGTTACTATTTCATTATCACCCATAAAAAAATCAAGTTAACTCCTTTTTTTATTATGCAACATGGAATGGTATATGAGGGCGCGGCTAAGTATAGGTCCTGAGTGCCAGCGTATTGTTAGTAATGCGGACTGTCAGTCCTACTGCTAGCAATATAGGGTATATTTAGTGTCAGGTCGACCTCCACGTGGTCACCCCCTGGAAACCATCGTGCTGAATTCTAGGTGTATTCATCACGATAGGCTATTCGACCTACTTTTTCATCATCACCTATCATCCCTGTTCGGTGCCACGCCAGCGTATACCGCTGTATGGAAACACGAGTGGGACAGTACCTTAAAAAAACCATAAACCATGGAAATATTCTCACCATTGCCGTTTTGTACGTTCTTCTCGACCATGGTCCTGGTATACTTTCCGCGCTGGACGTCTTCCAGCACCGACCTCAATTGGGTGACTCGTGCGGTCAAGCCAGCCAGCTTGTTCATCTCTCGGCCAGACAATACTAGCCTGCCGATGCCTTCAGCCATTTTGACCATCATGCGCCCATATGTGTAGTAGTGCTGTTGAAGGTATCATTACTTATACAAACTTATATACACATACAACATGCTTATCTCCCATTGCGGTGACCAGAAGTTGTTTGTAATGGGGATTATCTACCATTGCTAACAATACACCCTAACAGGTCCTCCCTAGAAACCATCGTGTTAAATTCCAAATGTATTCATCACGATGGGCTAACAGACCTGCCTTTTTATTCTCACCTATCATCCCTCACTGATTTCTTGCCAGTGTATCCGTTAGCGCACGCGGGGTTACCATTCCATTATCATTCATTAAAAAAAACTTCCTTTCTGGCCATATCATCTTTCACGCAGTCCATCCGTCTCTTTTTATAGGTAATACCTTTCTTACCATACTCTCTCTCTTCCCCACGCCTCACATTTCCATACCGTGACAAACGACTACTTCTCTTCTTTTTCATTATTGGCGCTACTTTCAAACTTCTTATGTACTCATTCTTGACCTTGTCACACCACATATCCATTTCTAAGGATGAAATCAAAAAACGCTAATGATTTTGATTTCATCCCCTGCATAGCTCCACTTCAAATAAAAGAAATATCAACCTTGAATCTGTCATTTTCGGTTCCCTTTGTTAGGAGGTTGTGATCCACTGCGAAGAATGGCCTCGACACAGCGTAGAAGCCGACAGTAATCGCCACGTCTGTGAACAAGAAATAAGAGTTTATAGAAATCGGTTGACCGATTTTCGACTGACACATTGTTTATCCGTATAAAGTGTTAAAATTTTTAAACTCAAGTTTATACTCAACTTCAAACGAAAGTAAAACCTCTTACGGGCCTATATTAATTATTAAGTAAGTGTTTACTTAATCGATATGGTTTACTTGGTAGTGAAATTAAACAAAATAATTCTATTATTTTGTTTAATTTCGCTAGCATTAATACCACACTGATTTGTTTTTAGATGCCTTGTTTAGAGGTGAAACACGTGTCGCAACATGTGCATGGACTGAATCACGGTCGGAGATTAATGATTTATATAGAAGGTCGTAGAACTTCTAATAATAATAATAGTCAATCTAAAAATGTTGGCAGTCGTACGCATACGTAGCGGAATTGAACAAAATAATTCTAATTGACTAACCAGTGATAGACTTCCGAAAAATAACACACAGCTCAGTACAATATTAAATGTTTTGTTTCACTCGCTGAAAAAAATGTCAAGGTACTACAATAGCTAGAAGAGATTTGAGACGTTCGCCATATTAATGAGGAAGAGAGCAACAGTACTGGATATATGACAATTATAAATAAACTAAATGACGGTTTGTATGACAAAGGTCCCCGATTGTAAAATCAATGTTATTGTAAAAAAAACACTTTTAAAAATATATTAAGGCCAATGCAATTCAGATCGACATTGATATAAACAGCAGAATGCAGTAGTAAAACGTACATGTATTTGTAAAATAAAATATTCAATTCGATGAAAAAAAAAATGTATTTTTTTTAAAGACATATTTTATAAGAGATCGACTCAGAACCAAAAGAACAATATTTAAAAACAATAGATGTTCTAAAAAACAGTGTCAATAGCTGTTTAGTAAACTGTACTGTATAGATATTGGATAATAAAAACACTGTATAAATAATAAATTTAATTATATGTATTTAAGGAGCCATCACTGTTAGAATTAACAAGAGAAAATAAAAAAAAGTTATGTCATCGACAACAGCCAGTATTATGGTAAAACTCGAATTTACTATGTAGATAATATGTGTACAATTGTTTAAAAATGAATTAGGAGAATGTACAATAAATTAAACATGTCAATAATAATTTAGACATCTCAGAGAAACGCTAGCTTATGATTACAATTTTTTTTTTATTATACAACTTAGAATGGCAAACAAGCTGATGGCCCACCTGATGGAATGTGGTAACCGTCGCCTATAGACATGAGCAGTACCATGGACATAACAGAGTATACTGTTTCGTCCATGATACTCCCCATGCGTTGCCATTCTTGAGGACTCAGGTGTTATTCCTCTGTACCCTGTAAATTCACGCCATATCCCACCCTTCAAACTGAAACACAGCCATGTTAACACGACTGCTTCACGGTTGAAACACAAATGGGACAGAGGTACCTAAGCAATCGACTTTTGTACAAAGTCTCCCTTTGGTGCGTTATAACATAGTGCATGTGACTGGTCACTAAAATATAATTTACGGAGATTCATTATATTTGACAATAGAATTGAGTGTGGGATAAAATTTGAGTTATGATTATTAGATTGACTTTAAGCCGAGAAATACTTATTCAATGCATTTGTATTACAGTAAATAGTTCAAATTCAAATTCAAATTCAAAAATCATTTATTCATGTAGGACATTTTAGCCGCTTATGAACGTCAAATTTTTACATTATAATTTTATATTTTCCCTACCGTCCAGTTCGGTATATAGATCCAATTGAGAAGAACTGGCAAAAGTGTAAAAATGTCAGCTATCACCTTAGCATGGTATACTGAACAAAGTACACTTCAGTTTTAATTTGGACTTAGAACTAAGCGTCCTAAAAACAATGGACTGACTGAATAATTTTGAATAATATGAATATTATTTCCATTTCTTTGTTTTGACTGTGTATGTTTAAAAATGTCAGAAACACTGGCGCTGGATACAGCGAACGAAGACATGCGAGTCATTGCTTTGACTATCGATGCACAAGATGGGTCAAAGTGGAATAGAAACAACAGAAATAATCACAATGATTATAGTCGAGGTTAAAACTTTTGAAAGGAGATTGATACTTTTTTTTTAATTTTATTTATTTAAATGAACACCGACAGCATATTGCATTATAACACATATAACAAACATTAAATATAATACAATATTAATGTACATGCCTATTAAAGGTATTCACAGCATTTTCTTTTTTATGCAACTTAGAATGGCAAACAAGCTGACGCCCCACTTGGTGGAGAGTAGTAACCGTCGCCTATAGATATGAGCAGTATCATGGACATAACAGAGTATACTGTTGATAACATGATACCCATGGTATCCCCATGCGTTGCCATTCCTGAGGACTTAGGTGTATTCCTCTGTACCCTGTAAATTCACTGCCATATTTTATAATTTATTTCTTTCGTATATTAAATTAAATCAACACACATTATTTATTTGCATTAAGTGTTTTTTTGTGGTGTGTCGTGTCGGCAAACACAGCTGCTTCACGGTTGAAACACGAATGGGACAGAGGTATCCAAGCAATCGACTTTTGTACAAAGTCTCCCTCTGGTAAAGGTATCATTTTAAAGGATACAGCAAATATGGCATGCATGACTACACAATATAACAGTCAATAACAGTGTTAGTGAACATACTATAATAATGCGCAATATATATGTAATTTATTAATTTAATTCCTAATTATCTTTTATTTACATTATATATACATCGTAACTATTAGCATATGTGAATTTATTTTTCATATTAAACCACTGTAAGGATTTATTTAATTATTTTAAATTAAATAAGTCACATGCGTATATGCAGTCACGTACGTATGTCTCATATCCTTCTATGAACTATCAAAAAAACTGAAATTCCACGGGTTTTTTTTTTTGTGATAATAAATTCGCACGTGTTTTGTTCGACTCTTAAATTTAAGCTATTTGATATAAAATCTATACTCACATTTTGCGACGATATTGTCTATGAAGCCCATCATTACTCTAAAGTTGAGGAAGTTGCGCAGATGTCGCGTCAACTTGAAGAAGCTCGCTAGGAGAGTCAGCTGTTCTCTGTGGTTACCCTGCGACAATATAGAACGCATGAAAGTTATCAGGGGCGTCACAGTGTATTCTGTGATACCTATGGTGTTAATTATATCTATAGACGACGATCACCTCTTTCTATCAGTTGGGTCACCAGTTGGCTAACATTTAAGACATTACATTAAAAACATTAAAAAATACAGCAACGTTGTCAATAATAATGCTCAGAAGTTAATAAAACATTTTTTCAGAAAAACACATTATATGAAAATAATACCTGTATAACCATTAAAAAAAAAATGATAATAAATTAGAATAAAAAAAAATTAGGACTTGCTGCCACGATTGGCAGCCGTAGTTAGGCTTTGGAGATATTTCAAGAGATGGTGTTGTCCATCCCTCGCCCTCCCTTCTTGCCTGGACGGGGTCGCCACATTGATTCGTAATTGTATTTATATTTATAAACATACAGATGAAAATAAAATAATAAGCTGACCTGATAGAAGGCGATTTCCTCGGAATTAGTGATTAGTCTCGAGTTTACGTATCTGAATTCACCTTCCAGCTTTTGCTCCTGGACTGTCATCTTCGCTGTAACACAAGACAAAAATCAAATATTTGCATTTGTTACAGTAAACAATAAAATTATTAGAGGGAGACTTTGTACAAAAGTCGATTGCTTGGGCACCTCTGTCCCATTCGTGTTTCAACCGTGAAGCAGTTGTGTTTGCATGGCTGTGTTTCGGTTTGAAGGGAGGGATATGGCGTGAATTGACTGGGTACAGAGGAATAACACCTGAGGCCTCAGGAATGGCAACGCATGGGGAGTATCATGGGCGAAACAGTATATTCGGTTATGTCCATGGCACTGCTCATGTCTATAGGCGACGGTTACCACTTTACATCAGGTGGGCCGTCAGTTTGTTTGCCATTCTAAGTTGTATAAAAAAAAATTTAGTTATATGGAGATAGGCATAGGTTGTTTTAATCTCGGTCAGTGAATATATCCAGGTTACCTAGATGTATTTAGTATTTTATTTGTATATAGTCTACTATCTTTTAATTGCGACCAAAGATTATTAAAAAAAAAAAAAAGAAATTTGAACTATTAATAATTTTAATGTAATTTAAATTTACATATGAAAAAGCGAAGTTTAAGTCGAAATAAAGCGAATTCTTTACATTAAAAAATTATTACATTCATGATAAATCACGAATTTGTTTATGTAGATATTGACTCATTCAAAATAAGACCCTACTCTTTGGGTGAGGCGATCATCTAGTACCTAATATTAATGCTCAAAGATGGTTAGTATAATAAAATTAATACCTGTCGGTTTTCTTAAGATAGTCAAAAAGATTCCAGAGACCACCAAGTACGCAACCATTATTCCAGGGGTCTGAAAAAATAAAGATGCACTGTAATAAACCAATGTATATGTATGATTTTGTAACTTAATTAATCGGTAGACATGTTTTCGTTACATATTATATGAGAAAAAGTAAGACGACGGATATCGCTGTCTCGTTCTGTTTCATCATTACACGCTTGAGAAACAACAACACGCGAGATATTGTAGTTTCGATATATTGCATACGTACGACAGAAAAGACCAGAGGGAGACTTTGTACAAAAGTCGATTGCTTGGGTACCTCTGTCCCATTCGTGTTTCAACCGTGAAGCAGCTGTGTTTGCATGGCTGTGTTTCGGTTTGAAGGGTGGGATATGGCGTGAATTTACTGGGTACAGAGGAATAACACCTGAATCCTCAGGAATGGCAACGCATGGGGGATAACATGGGCGAAACAGTATACTCTGTTATGTACATGGTACTGCTCATGTGTATAGGCGACGGTTACCACTTTCCATCAGGTGGGCCGTCAGCTTGTTTGCCATTCTAAGTTGTATAAAAAAAAAAAAAAACATCTATTGATACATTTGTTTGATTGAGGTGGAAGAGGAGGGGGGGGGGGGGAGGGAGGCTTGTTTAAGTTGCATGTATTTTAGCTATATCATAATATCACTATAGGCGACGGTTACCACTTTCCATCAGGTGGGCCGTCAGCTTGTTTGCCATTCTAAGTTGTATAAAAAAAAATATCAGTCGTCAACTGTCTACTGCTGTACATAGGCCTACTTCTATTGGGGGGGTTTTGGAAGTAGTTGCCACGTTTGGTAGGCGGATTGACAACCGCAGTTAGACTTTTAGTGATGTTTTAAGAGAGAGGCTGCCACCCACTCCTCGGCTATTAAGCTCCCTTAGTCGCCTCTTACGACCTCCACGAGAAAGAAAGGGGTTTATATATATTACTAAAAAATTTGCTATTTATATATTAATTACTAAAGTCCACATTTGGGACACACAATGGGAAAATGTTCAGTTTCACATTCCCCTTAAAAGATGCTAATGACTTTGATTTTAGCCTATTTAAGAATATTTATGGAATTGTAATCATATTTGATATGTACAAAGATAAAAGGTGAACTCTCCAAACAACAAAATGGCGAGGTCCAGCAGGAAAAAGAAATGTTGGAAGGCAAAGAAAGAGATGGGCAGATGACATAATAAAGACAGCAGGAAAAAACTACAACAAACAAAAGACAAGTATTGCTATAGATAAGGAGAAGTGGAAAAAGATGGAGGAGCCTTTTACCCTTGGGGACTACTGAAGTGGATAAAAAGCTATAATAATAATAATAATCATATTTGATACTTTTCTTTCCGTTAATATACCTTTTAAACGCGGTAGCAAACTCAGTATAACATTCACGTGAAAATACTCAAGAACGTTTTACTTCCAATATCAGCTTAAGTAGATACGAAAAATATATATTTTTTTTAAATTAAATCACTAATTACATCATCAATTTAATTTTAATCTAAATCGCAACAGTCTCGAAAAAGATATAGAAATGTATATGAATCTAAATTCAATAAAATGACGTAAGTACAATCGCAAGGATAAAAATGTCTCATTAAAATGATAATGTGTACACCAACAAGGTTATAGTAGAATACGAGAAATACCGACCGAATGCGAGTTCTATTGAGAAATAAATCGAGACGTAGAGAACCATTATATATATTTTTTATTATTATTTTATTGGTATTGTTTTCGTGTTTCGAGGATATGCAAAGCGGTTATCTCTACACGTATAATGAAGGCGACTTAGAAACTTGACACTAGAAGGCGTTAATGAAGGCGACTTAGAAACTTCACACTAGAGGTCTTTAACTTAGTACTAACAGTAATGATATCAGCTGGTATTTTCAGTTTATTCACTACTTATTTAAAAAAGGTATCATGCAACAAGTACGCCGTATATATATATACATATATATATATATATATATATATATATATATATATATATATATATATATATATATATATATATATATATATATATATATATATATTATTAGTGTGATAATGAAATGGTAACTTCGCCTGTGTTATCGGTATATGCTGGCGGGGCACCAGTGAGAGGTAGGTGACGATGAAAGCAGGTCAGTTAGACCATCGTGACGAATTTCACTAGAATTAACCATGATAGTTTCCAGGGGCAACCGCGTGGTGGTTGACCAGATATATGTATTGCTGGTAATGGGGAAATGAGACCCATTATTAACAATTTCTTTCCCCCCTCCCAATATTCAATTTTTTTTTAATGCATGATTAATGGAATGGTAACCCCGCCTGTGCTAACGGTATACGCTAGCGGGACACCAGTGAGGAATGATAGGTAAATAATGAAAAAAGCAGGTCAGTCTGCTAATCGTGATGAATACACCTAGAAGTCAGCACGATGGTTTTCAGGGGGGAACCGCGTGGAGGTCGATCTGACAGGGTATATTGCTAGCAATGGGACTGGTAGCCCGCATTACTAACGATCCCTTCCCCCCAATATCCAATATTATGATTTATCAGTGTATCAAATATCATTTTAATCCATTCAAATGTGCATGATTGGTTAATAAGACCTTCATACACGTGTAGGATTACTGAAGTTCCCACTATCATTATTACGTTTAATCTATTGTTCACTCTGATAAGTTTTGATAAGCCAGGAAATTGTTTGAGCAGACGACCTAATATTGCCATTGCAATGTTGCTCTTCTAAGTAAGACCATAAGGTATAAAATGAATTGAGTGAATTCTGACGACCTTACATATACAATATTTTCATATGTAATAGGTATTATATGTTCTCTCTGTGAATAGGATATTTTTTTCTAATAGGTGAAAATGGCATGGTAACCCCGCCTGCGCTATCGGTATACACTGGCGGGGTACCAGTGAGAGGTGAGGATGAAAAGGCAGGTCAGTTAGCCCATAGTGACAAATTTAACGATAAATTAGTCACGATAGTTTCCAGGGGGAACCGCGTGGAGGTCGACCTGATAGGGTATATTGAGAGCAATGGGAATTAACCTCCCCATTACTAACCATAAGAATAAATGGTCTTTATTCTGATGGCTTATCTGGTTAACTAAAGATTAAATTAGAAATTTGTATTTGATGTCATTAAATTAAAAATCAATAAAGAAATTTTTTAACGCTTTTTTTAATTTTTAATCAATGTTCAACACTCAGGTCAGTTTGTACGTCAGTTTACACCGCTATTGAAGGCAACTAAAAATATGATAAGATATTATTGTTGTACATACTATTGTTATTTTTATTTTTTTTTTTTTAATGAAAAAGGATGACTAGATTTTCCTATAAAGTCACAAAAATAATAAATTTATATTTATTATATTTATATTATTATATGTATCGCATCTGCCATATTTAGAACTGACAAAAGTTTTTATCTTGCCTCCCACCAAATTGTTTATAATTACTCCTTTCCATCCAAAGGTTGCCTGGAAGAGATCGCTCTTAGCGATAAGGTCGCCCATTGTTTTCTCATTGTGATTATTTCTTGTAATTATTTATATTTATAACAAGTTTCCTATTGTAATCTCTTGGAGGAAACAATAAAGAGTATTTACAGGCGGGGTTACTAATCCATTTTCACGCATCAAAAAAAAACATGCTTGCCGTTCCCCCTGGAAACCATCGTGATAGATTTATTGTTGAATTCATCACGATGAACTAATTGACCTGCTTTATCCTCACATATCGTTTCTCACTGAAGCCCCGCCAGTGTATACCGATAGCGCGGGTGGAGTTACTATTCCATTATCATCCATAAAAAAAGCAAGTCAAGTGCAAGTCGAACTCCCACAACGAGGGTTCCGTACAAAATCATCAAGTTTAAAAAGTGTTTTTTTTTTGTGAGTTGTCTACATATTTACGGTTTTCAGATTTTTTCTTTACTTGTGCTACATGAAATTCTAGCCAAATTTCATGATTCTAGGTCATCGCGAAGTACCCTATAAGTTTAGATTCCCTTTGCGAATGTCAAAATATGCGATATGAATGAAACATAAACGGCCGTATCTTTTGATTACATCGATTTAGAAGCTTGACTTTCTCAATGCTTTAAGAGATTGCCGACTTTAGTATATGATATTAATTTCAACTTGATACCTCCACGCGTTCCTAAGAAAAAGGGTCTTGACAGAGGGACAGACGGATGGATGGGCAACGAAGTGATCCTATAATGGAACCGTTGTTTCCTTTGGTGATACAGAACCCTAAAAACATTTCATTATCATCAATTAAAAAAGTACACATTTTAGATGTATAAACAGCTCATGAAAGCTAGGCAAAATATCAACTTAATTTGATAAGAAAATGTTTGTTAAAAAAGTTTGCAAGATCATTATATTATATCTATTGTAAATAACGTTAAAATAACTGTTTATCTGCAACTACACTGACCGTATTGAACGTGAACGTATTGTAGGTCTATTATCTGGTGGACTTTGTACCAAATTTTGAATTATAATATCAAACGAGTCACTTTGTTGGTAACGTTTTTGAAGTTGAATTTATTTACCTTTATATAACTTTTTAGCTAACAATTTTCTTGTTATTTCGTATACGTGGTTTTTTAATGAATACACCTGGGATTCAGCACGATTATTTTTTTTTTTTGTTGGGTGAAAATTGTATAGTAACCCCGCCTGTGTTAACGAGATACGCTGGCGGAGCACCAGTGAAGGGTGATAGATGAGAATGAAAACAGGCCAGTTAGCCCATCATGATGAATTCATCAGGAATTAACCATGATAGTTTCCAGGGGGAGCCGCGAGGAGGTCGACCTGGTTGGGTATATTGCTAGCAATAGGATTCTCAGTCTCCATTACTAACAATCCCTTTCCCCCTCAGCACGATGATTACCATGAGGGGACCTCGGGGAGGTCGACCTGACAGAGTATATTGCGACTGATGAAACTGGTAGTGCGTAATACTAACAATCCCATCCTCCTCTAGTTATTACTGT